CCTCCTAGTCATCCTTGACCTTTCCATCCATCCCCCCCCCCCCCTGTTCGTTCTGCAGATGCTTCCTACTTCTCCAATCTAATGATCCATGTGGCCCTATCCCTCTCCCTGCCCTCGATCTTCTTCATTCCTTAGATTATGGGTCACCACTCACAGTACGCTTCCCTCGCTTGGAAGCCTCTCCTCTCCCCGCCTCTGTTCAAGCCCTGAGTTGCTATCCACACGACTCTCCCACCTACTCAGTAACGATGCTGCACCATTGAAACTACCTGATCTTGATCTGTTTTAGTTATGAAGGTGTTACCGAAGAGGCTAGTGCAGGTGTCCTCTAGGGGCATTTCCCAAAACATGGTGCTGCACCTGGTGCAACATAGCAATGACAAAGTTCGTACAAAGCTATCAATGTTACAGACCACAGGTGGTTGCCTTGACTGAAACAATGTTCCATATTCTACCACTCTGCTCGTCCCTGCTGCTGCTGTATTTGAGGATGTTATAGCTGTGTATTGAGTGGTTTAGTGTAGTAGGTCCATTCGAATGAGCAGAGACAAGTATCGCGCACTGTGCCACTGTATGAGCACATTAACCTACGCACATGCACACGTGCACACTTCTTGTGTTACCGGTACCCGAGACACCATGACGAATTCGAAACCAGCAGTATCTGCATACAACCTCTCCCCTACTCCGCCTGCCTCTTCCCGCCTATCGAATCCGGTCCTGCAAGTTAGCAAAGATGCTGGCTGGAGCGTGGAGGGAAAGGAAAACAGCGTCTGCCCTTCCAACACACACTCGCAAGTCCCTGTCCCCCCCTCTCCACCTCACCCCTGTCCACCCCCCTGCCTATCGAATCCGGTCCTGCAAGTCAGCAAGGATGCTAGAGGCAAATGATGACAGTGCCTGCCCTGTCTGCTCTGCCACAGCCTGCAAGGTGGGAAGCAAAGGCGGGGCAGTGTGCAAGAGGGCTGCTGTGTTAAGACATGCATGTTCAAACAGCTCGTGGGTGGAAAATGGAACACCGATTATCACGCAACATCCACCCCCCCAGAGAGCCCTCCCAGTAGGTCCACAGCAATGCTCTTTTAAAAGGCATACAGCACACACGAGAAGTGGACTACATCATAGACACGCATGAAACTGGCTTATCATGCAACACCCACCCCCACGAGCTCTCCCAGTAGGCCCACAGCAAAGCTCCCCAAGAAAGCACACTGCATTCTGGACTACTACAAACATGGTCAATGGAACATGGCTTATCATGCCACACCCACCCCCACGGAGAGCCCTCTCAGTAGGTCCGCAGCAATACTCCTCAAGAAAGCAAACATTACATTCTGGACTGCATAATCACACATGTGGAAGGGAAAATGGATGATCATGCAACACCCACCCCCACGGAGAGCCCTCCCAGTAGGTCCGCAGCAACGCTGTCCAGAGAGCCGTCCCCGTTACCCTGATTGCCACCCTCGTCCCGATCGAAGAAGGCTGCACTCGAAATGGCCGACGAGTTCTGATGGCATGGGTACGAGAGAGAAGTGATTGGCATGGTGAGGAGATGAGCGTCGGAGGGAGGGGACTCCGGAACGGGAGGATAAACCAGTCCACCGTCTATTCAACCCACATCCTGAATTATCCTTTCAATTCTTCCCTTACTAGTCCGTACGCCTCAACCCGCCTTATGTCTATGCACAACCGGTATAACCCTCCTGTCCCCAGTGTCCCTGTTCTCTTCCCTTTTTTGAACTCAACTGCCTAAATTTTCCAATGCCACACCTATGAGACCTCCTTCCTCGGTCAGTCACATTGTAACAGCGCCTTCTACTCCTTAGTTCAGCATCTAAACGTCGTCACAAAATATATTATCTCCACAATAGCCGCACTGCGCTTCCTACAAAAAGGATTTTGTAGTGCCCGTTCGGCCATCCGCGACCACCTAGCAGCTCCGCACCGGCTCCTTAACCAATCCCATCCTCTGGACCAACGAACCATCAGGAAAGCTCGTTCCAGTCTCCTGACCAGGTCTCTGGGCCTTAAGCCTTCTCTTGCAGACGCACGACATTCTAACCTCATGTTGTTTGCAGCCACCTATAGCATATGCAGCCGCACTTGATTCTCTGTCGCGAGTCCTTGTTGTCCTACCGTTCTCACACCCTCGTTCCTTTCCGTGTCTCGGAATGGTGCCGTTAAGCCATGTTCCTTCAGCCCACCTCCAATTTCTGCACCCTCAGTTAATTCTGCGCCTGTCCTAGGAGAAAAATTGCTGCGCCTCCTGGTTCTCGCTCTCATTTCTTTCTTCACTTCCTAAAAGTGTGATTATGGCATGCTCCTGCGGCTCACCTGGAATTTCTGCAGCCGCTCTTGGTTCTGCGCCTGCAGCTCCTTGTTATCCCGGTCAAAGAACTGCTGCGACGAGATCGCCTTCGCCCCTGCGAACTTCCTGCGAGCCTCGTCTGACTCCTCGATTGGCTGCAACCCACAAAGAGAGGATGGAAAGCACGTGGATTGGTCCAAGGGAGAAAGGCAGCAGCAAAGCCCTAAGAGCGAACACTTGTTGTGTAACAAACTAGTCAATTCGTTACCATGCCAAGTCAAACAGGCCTACACAAGGTTGGAAGCCCCACTGGTAGCTCCAACGCACCCCAGCCAAGAAAGCATCACATGCCAACAGCAGAATACTGAACCAAATAGCTTAAACAAGCAGCAGAATGTACCCGAACCGGAGAAATGCGCCTGTACCTGAGGTGGGGGCTTGGGCCGGTTGCTGGGAACAGCCCTGATCCCTCCCGAGAAGTCGTTAAAGAAGTCTCCAGATGCCGCGGGCGCCGCTACGTGGCCGCCTCTGCCCGACCCGGCGCCGGGCTGCGAGGAGGAGGACGCCTCGTTGTACGTGAAGCGCGACGCCTTGTGCTCCACCACGCCCACCTTGACCGGTGCCTCCACCGGCTTCTGCTCGTACAGGCTGTCGTTCGGCTGGAGATGCGGGGATGGGAGGGAGGATGGGAGGGAGGAATGATTGAGAAACAGCGAGGCAATGGGTGTGCGGTTGTGCACAGGTGACGTCAGGGGATGCGTAAATAGTGGTCGTGAAGTCAAGAGCGTATGTGGCTCGGTAATCACATGTCAACCATCTCGTTGAAAATCGCATTTGTTCATTCCAGGCAAAGGCAACGACCTTGTTTATTCTGCAGTTGCACTTTTGGTCATGCCAATGTTCTGTCAGTGCACTCTCCCTTGTTTGCTGCAGCCATGAATCGTGGCATTCGACAGTCACGTATGGATTCTCCTCAACGACCCGTTCGTGCTAACCACGCGTACTGACCTTCGTCGTGAGCTTCTTAACGCCGAGGCCGGACGACTTCGTGGTCGTTTTCTTCGCAGTTACGCTCGTCGTCTTCCTTGTAACCGGAGACACTCGCGACGCTGCAGCAGCAGGAGCAGGAGCAGCAGCGGCAGGAGCCGGGGCCTCTTCAGCAGCCGGCGCTGCCGCTGCAGCACCGCCATTCGCAGCTGTTTGGCTAGTCGATGTTGGCGAAGGGAGAGAAGTCTGTGCGCCGGCGAAGCTCTTCGCGACTTCCTTCGCAAGCAGCTGCCGGTAGAGCTCGGCGGCTCTTGAGGTGTATTTCTGTTCGATCTTGCCTCCGTCCGTCCAGCCGTGCTGCTTGAAAAAGGCACGCGCTCGGCCGTTTCCTCCGAAGGCCATGATCTTCAGTTGCTCTACGCTCCAGCCGTCAAGAGTTGTCGACCTGATGAGAGCAACACCGATCGACATCACCAAGGCCTTGTTGATCGTCGAATGGACCGGTTGCTGCGTACTACGAACGAAAGGCTTTAAGGCAACAGAGCGGGTCGCATAGTCTAGCACATTCAGAACTTTTCCAACTTAATGATTTCCAATATTTGCAAATACGCATCATGGGTAAGAACAAGTAGGCAAAAAGCCAAGTATGAATTCCGACAGATCAGTAGAAACGAACCTGACAAAGCTGACGTGCACGCCGAGGCTGCGATGCATCGCTGAGCAGTCGAGGCATATAAAGACTCCGTAGGTGACCGTTGCCCATGTAGGATTCTTCGCATTGCAGTCAAAGCACATCTGAGACAAAACGGCGAGAGACAACAAAGCAGATTCGCACAGATTCGCATAGCAATGCAGAAAGCACAGCAGAGCGTGAACCAGTGCGATCACACCAAAATACAATCCAAATAACAAGGGACAACATAACATCAGCGAAGACGACTCATTCTAACCTTGTTCTCGGCTTTTGCTCGTAGCTTTTTGAAAACGGGATCCCTCTCCCAAACCTCCTCTTGATTCGCCATTGTTGCTGATTCCAATATCCTAACAAATGTCCAACACAAATACTACAATTGAACGAGCTACTAAACTAGTAGAAACAAACGAATCCAAGCTTTAGATCGCCAAGTAATTCACCGGCCAGAGAGATAGGAAACCCGTTTGCCTGAATTTGGTGAATCTGGGTTGGCCTGTTTCAGATACAAGCTCAACTACTGACAGATGGTGGCTAGGATCACACGAGGAAAAACCAGGGTTTCTTCGCCTGCTGTTATTTCTCTCACTCTGTCCCCCTGCACCTGCACAATTATTTATGATTCAAGCCGGGTTGGTGAGGATGCCTCTGTGTCTCCCTAACCACAACTCGAGGCTAGATTACTGGTTTGGAGGGAGGCTCGAAATAGAAACAAAGGGATCTCCGCGTGAGTTCGCGCAGCGATTGGAGCATGTGTCGAGTTTCCCGCCTGCGCCCCGCCAAGTCAAGCTATCACGCTCTACCGAGCTCCGAGGCTGCCCAACGGCCAGTGACAGACAGGTTCGGCACCGTTCGGCTGACCTAGACCTTTGGGGACTCCAACGCCACCATACACCAGCAAGAATGTCCGAACCAAAGCTCAAATGATTCACTATTGATATCACCACAACTCTTACAGACAGTAATATTCTAACCAAGTACATGAACCAAGTCCTAAGAGCTTCCATGACTTCATTCCTTTCCTGCTTTCACTAAAAGATCGTGCAAATCTTTCTCCATAAAATCCACCTTCTCTGCACAGAACTCGCACCGAACCTCCACCGACCCTGCACCAGCACATAAAGAAACACTTAAAAATGATGGAGTGGCCAATGCAATCCCACACTTGATAATATCATTACCGGTACTCTAATAATGAGGAGCTTGAGAATTCAATTCAGCATGACACACCAGACTATCCCATCCACTCACCTCTTTCCTCAATGAGTTTCTTCACGTCCTCCGCCCCTAGTGACTCCACAGCTCTAAGCATGCGCGGCTTCAGGTCTTCCAAACCACATGGGCCAAACGTAGGCACAATCTGTATGAGCAAAGGGGATGGGAGTAGAAACAAATAGGTTGTGTTTTTCAGCAATTTCCCATGAAACCTAGCAACAGGTTGACAACCACATGATGCACTGCATCCAGTATACCAGTGACATGCCCAACCAGCATTGCAGACAAATCATAGATTCGAACCACACCATGCCAAGCATAAGGTCCGGACATACCGGATCTATGACAGGTTCGGGATCCAGCCCCTGCAGGAGATGGCGAGCTATGCCCCCTGCATCCATGCGCTGCACCGCGTCTGACATGGCGCCCAGTGATTGGACGTTGGCCTCTAGCTTGTCTAGTGTCTCGTCCGAGCAGAAGGGAAGGACCTGGAGAGAGAGTGGGTGGATGGAAACGAACCCAGACAGAGATTGAGTTGCCATAAAAAGATGTTGGAATAGGAGCAGCAAGTGCACCTCGCCTCTGGGAAGAAAGAGACTGACTGAAAGGAATCATACAGGTTACTGGCGAGAAAGAAAGTGGGATGGCAGTGAGTGAGCCACTCACTTGAACTGGGAATCCACCTGTTGCCCTGATAATGCTCCCAGGCTTGGCGCAATATTCTTCACTTCATACAAGCACCAGGGCATTAGGCAATGTTTTACTCACTTGAACAAGGAACCCGCCTGCTGCCCTGACAATGCCATCTTTGCCCACCGCCACTCCCAGCCCCATGGCAGAGTTGATCTGCTCACTCTCCGCCAGGTAGTTTGCCAGGTCCTCTGCGATCTCCCCTGAAACCAGAGGCACCGTGCCACTGATAGTGGCATTGTATGAAAGATGGATGGGAAAGAGGAGTTGGGGAAGGAAGAAGCTGGGATGGATCGCTCACTCTCCGCCAGATAAACTGCCCTGACAACATAGCACAGTGCTGATAGTAACAAAATTTCAGAAAGAGTGAAGGGGCAGCAGGTGAATAGCGTTGGGCTGCTCTTGTTATAAATTACAACCTACTAAGCCTTTTGCAGTTTCCAATTACAGAGTGCTGCTGCTTGTGGAGGAATGTAGAGAGATGGAAAGAGATGAAACGGTACTTTTACCTTACACTGTCCATGGTGTGCAAAAGCGTGTGGGCCAAGTCAAGCAGGGCTTATACCTTGATATCAAGGTTCATACCTTCAGATTGAGCCTCATACCGTAAAACGAGTACTCATCACGTCCCGAGGCTCACCATATCAAGGTGAAAGTGATGAACCAACACCATGGTCTTAATTAAGGCTCACGTGTAAGGTGACTGCCAAGAGGGATGGGTTCGAATGACGCTAAGCACTCCCTTGCCCACTGCACCCCCCACGTCCATCTGGCCATGTAAAGAGGAAAGTAGAGAAACAGGGAAATGCATTGAAGCGTGGAACGGGGACCGAGAAATCAGAAGAAGTCTCAAACAGACGAATGCACTTGTTCATAACATTGCATGTCTTCACGTTGCCTACCTTGCCCTTGGAGTTGAGAGGTGGGTCGGCCAGGGGGTTAACGGCGAACCCTTTCACCTCCCCATGCAGCGCTGAAACAGCCGTGATCTGCCCAATGGGCCCCCGGCCGTTCACTGTGACTTGCACGGATTCGTCTGGCCCTTTCATTGCTCCCAGCAGCAGCGTCCCCATTAGGAGCCGCCCCAGTGCTGCTACAGCCTGTGACACGTGCGGACACGAACGAAAGATGTTTAGCAATCGGATATTGCTGATGTGACTGCTGGAACAATCATTGGGAGTAAGAAGCAGCAATAGCGGCGAGTGATTGCAGATAGCAATGAAGTGGTGGTGTGAAACGCGACTCACAGTGGGGGCCATGCCGTGCCGCCTCTGAGCCTCCTTGACCAGATCAGTCGCCGCCACCACCATCACAGATACCTGCCGATGGGCCCCAGAGGGTCAGTGGGGTTGACGGAATATGAGTCACTATAGAAGAATCTCAAAAGTGTCTTTGAGCCTCCTTGACCAGATCAGTGGCGGCCACCACCATCACGGATATCTGCCGATGGGCCCCAGAGGGTCCGTGGGGTTGACGGAATATGAGTCACTATAGAAGAATCTCAAAAGTGTCTTTGAGCCTCCTTGACCAGATCAGTGGCGGCCACCACCATCACGGATATCTGCCGATGGGCCCCAGAGGGTCAGTGGGGTTGACGGAATATGAGTCACTATAGAAGAATCTCAAAAGTGTCTTTGAGCCTCCTTGACCAGATCAGTGGCGGCCACCACCATCACGGATATCTGCCGATGGGCCCCAGAGGGTCCGTGGGGTTGACGGAATATGAGTCACTATAGAAGAATCTCAAAAGTGTCTTTGAGCCTCCTTGACCAGATCAGTGGCGGCCACCACCATCACGGATATCTGCCGATGGGCCCCAGAGGGTCCGTGGGGTTGACGGAATCATGCGTGGGTAGGGTAACAGAAAAAGAGATTAATTACGTCTGCTAGAGACGGAGCTTGAGGCCAAACATTGCTTTTCATTCGTCCACAGAAGTTTTGCTATCAGTTGCAACATTGGAAATATAATTTGATCTTTGAGTTCTTATTCAACCACCGTACCTCCGCGTTGCCTGAGATGAATTTGACAATCTCGTCCTTGGTAGCGTGACGTGCTGGTACTGCGACACCCGTTGCCGTGTCATGGCTCTCATTGCCAGTGTGATCGCCGTCTGAATGGCTAGCGCTGACGCGGAGAGCGACACGACGATGGTCTGCACGGTGAAGGTGGGATCGGCGGGATTGACGGCCAGGTTGATAAGAGACCCGCAGGCTTCTAATTGCCGTGAATCGAAGCGGGGTTCGTCCAAGGCTGCTGCTGCTGCTTATGGCGACGTCTCTCGATTCTGAGGATGGTCGGAGAGCGGTTCTAGATGGTAAAGCATTAAGGTGTGCGTGGACTTGCGGGACAGCAAGGACCTCCATTGCACCTGCTACTGTCGGAGTGGTTCGCTAACCACGGCGGACCGCCTCAGATTTCGTTGAACGATTAAAATCTATCTGGCGAATTGCACCTCCACAACAGAGCCGGAAGGTATGTCACCAGCAAGCAATATTGTCAGGGAAGGGAATGCGTGGCAACTGAGTTATGGACAGAAACAAGTGATCTGACTGGATACAGGGATTTATGAAAAACACGCAGTAAGAGAATGAAGGGAAAACAGCCTTGAAGTTGTCAATAACAATCTCGATTCTCAAGGGTACCGTTCGGTTCGGTTCTGCTGGGCTCGGTGGGAACAGATGCAAGCCTCTAAACCGTAATCGAAACACGCATAACCGAAACGAACCTTCTTCTGAGTGGTGCTACTTTGCTTGGAAAAAATATGGGCTAGTGTACTTTCACGTGGCACGTTGTCGCTGCTCCGCGTGGAGTCTCCACGCAGGCAGCTTTTCTAGATTGGCAGGATACAGAGCTACTCGACTCAGTGTAGAAAGCGTAAGAGAGGAAAATATACGAAACAATAAATCTCCTGCCAGGAAATCGGTCACTTGCGTCAACCCTTATCTCGTCAGGCCTAGTTGAAAGGCAACCAGTTGTTTACTCTCGTCTCATCGTCATACTTGCTCCGTGACTTAAGTCCCCAGTCGCCACCGTATGCTTGCCTACTATTCTCGTTCATTTTTCCGCCATCCACGGAAGCCGTTCGCCAATTGCATGCCCACATTAATGACCGCGTTTCCGCATCTCAGTCCATATTCGTTGCCCCCTGATTGGCGCTCCGCTTCACCCAGTGCGATTCTGGCCGTTCATCCCAGAGGCCTCGGAATTTCGAATTGCTACCCAGACTTAAACGTCAGTAGCCGTTTGGTTCGAGCCGCAATCTCCAAGAATTCGTTCTATGTTGCTACGAGCTCGAAGCATTCCCTAGGCATGACTGGCATAATTCACTCAGTTTCTCATCTAATTATTTCTCCGGGCGCTAGCAAGCGTTCAGACACGAACAGTGGAAACGTCTTCAGCGTTCCGCGCACGCCTCTAAGCAGACACGTCAGCACGAGCGAGTTCGCCAGTCAGAATACGACACGTAGCATCAGAAGCTGCGTCTCTGCTCGGTCCCTAGGCGTGAGAAATGCGCAGTCGCAGGGTAGCAAGCAATACACAACAGAATCTGCCAGCGACGTGACACAAACGGGCGAAGGGTTGGACCCGGTGACGCTGCCTCGAAATGTGACAATAGCAGGAGAATCCGTAGGCACTGTAGTCAACCTTAACCAAGCCAATCCTCAGAAAGTGACAAAAGCGGAGGAGGCTGTAGATGGCGTGGTGACTCGGAGCCAGGCCAAATCCCGGCTAGATGCGTTTCTGGCAGCACAGGGGGAGCGCGTCAGCCGTGCCAGGTGGCAGGACGCCATTCGCCAAGGAAAAGTGCTGGTGAATGGCAGCGTCCAGAAGAAGGTAAGACGAGTTGGCCCAGCCTGAAGCTGTCAGGTTTTGCCAAACAGGCGGACAGGCACACAGGCAAGCAGGCAGCCGGACATGAAGCAACATAGCCACCTTTGCACCAAACAGGAATTACGTAATAAGCTAGTAATCCTCAGTCGCTCCCCTTTTCCCTCCCTCCTTCCCAAACCCCCCACCTCCTCTTACCGCTCCCCGTTCCTCCCCTCCTCCAGCCATCGTACGCAGTGAGGGAGGGCGAGCGGGTGCAGGGCAGTCTGGCCCCGCCGCAATCACAGCACGCATTGGAGCCAGCAGCCATTGCCCTGCACGTGGTGCATGAGGATGAGCACGTGGTGGTCGTCAACAAGCAACCGCACATGGTACGTGCGTCTCTCTTCCTTCCATTCGCTACTCCCCAGTCACAGCACGCGTTGGAGCCATCTGCCATTGCCCTGCACGTGGTGCATGAGGATGAGCACGTGGTAGTGATCAACAAGCAACCGCACATGGTACGTGCGTCTCTCTTCCTTCCATTCGCTACTCCCCAGTCACAGCACGCGTTGGAGCCATCTGCCATTGCCCTGCACGTGGTGCATGAGGATGAGCACGTGGTAGTGATCAACAAGCAACCGCACATGGTACGTGCGTCTCTCTTCCTTCCATTCGCTACTCCCCAGTCACAGCACGCGTTGGAGCCATCTGCCATTGCCCTGCACGTGGTGCATGAGGATGAGCACGTGGTCGTGATCAACAAGCCACCCCACATGGTAGGTTTCTCTGTACCCTTTTTATATATTCTTCTTATATCTCTCATTTGTTATTACCTTTCCCTCTTCGTTGCATTGCGTGGTGGCCCCTCCTCGTTGTCTGCTACCTGACTGATTGCCCCGCATTGTCCCTTCTCATGCGCCCCTCCCCTCCAGAGCAGGTGGTGCATCCCGCTGCAGGCAACTGGCAAGGCACTCTTGTGAACGCATTACTGCACCATTACCAGCTCTCCTCCTCCTCCTCCTCCTCCTCCTCCTCCTCCTCCTCCTCCTCCTCCTCCTCCTCCTCCTCCTCCTCCTCCTCCTCCTCATTCCTTGGGTCCCATTCACTCTCCATGAAAGGAGTGGGGGAGAGGGTAGGGGACTCTCAGACTTCTCTGGCCGCTGGTTGGGATGAGGAAGAGGATGAAGAGGGGGATGAGGACGTGGAGGAAGAGGAAGAAGAGGAGGAGGGAGAGGAGGGGAAGGAGAGGCAGGGAGCAGAGGTGGGAGCCAGAGCAAGCGTAACAGGGGCACCAGATGTGCGGCCAGGGATAGTGCATCGGTTGGACAAGGGAACGAGCGGGCTGCTTGTCGTGGCCAAGGTGAGGTTAGGAAGGGGGCCCTCGCCTGCCAGCCCAGCCTTGCATCTTTCTTGATTTTCTACACCCTGTCACCCCACTCTTGCCCTCATTCTCGCTCACACTTAACTCCCCGCCTCCTCATCTCGCCACCCATCAATTCCCATCCACCAGGACCCGTTCAGCCAGGCTCACCTGAGTGCGCAGTTCAAGGCACGCACCGTGCACAGAAGCTACCTCTCCCTTGTTATTGGTGAGACCACGAGAGTGCCCTTGTGTATTCTGAGTCGACTCAAAAGACAACTGAGTGCATGCACAGTTCAAGGTGTTCACAGAGGCTACCTCTTCCTTGTGATTGTGTCACCTGAAAGTTGCATTTTGTCTCCTCAAGTATTGTTCTGTTTTTGGAGGTAGTTTATAATCTTTCTCCGTGCACACCCACCTGCATCCCATTCCACCCCACCATGCAGGCACGCCCTCTCCTCTCGCCGGCCGTGTGGATGCCCCTATTGGTCGAGACCCCAAGGACCGCTTTTTGAGTCCACCCAAACCAACAACTCCCCTCCCCCCCACCCCCCCCTCCCACCCATGCATGCATGCATGCAGGCACGCCGTGTCCTCTCGCCGACCGTGTGGATGCCCCTATTGGTCGAGACCCAAAGGACCTTGATTCGACCCAACCCCCCTCCCTCCCCCCCTTCCCTCCCCCTCCCACCCATGCATGCAGGCACGCCGTCTCCTCTCGCCGACCGTGTGGATGCCCCTATTGGTCGAGACCCCAAGGATCGCAAGCGCATGGCAGTGCTGCCACTCACAGGCTCCCACCGCAGCAGACGAGCCGCCAGCAGGTGGGAATTACCACGAAAACACCTTGTAATTGGGTGTAAGGTACTCGGAGATATTTAATTCTTTCCCACTCTTGCTGTTACCAGGTGCGAATGGAACTTCTCCAAGATGACTTCTCAAAGGTCTCATTAAAGAGCATTTGAGCCGCTATTCAGTGTTTGTTATGCTTGTGATGCCTGGCATGCGTGTGACTGGCGATCAGGTACCGGGTGTTAGAATCGCTGGCAGGAGGAGCAGCTGCTCTGGTGGAGTGGAGGTTGGAGACCGGGAGGACACACCAGGTGGGTGGGTGGGAGGTGCCAGGTGCATGAGTTTGGGGCATCAGGTGGGTGGGAGGTGCAAGGTGCGTGAGTTTGGGGCATCAGGTGGGTGGGAGGTGCCAGGTGCGTGAGTTTGGGGCATCAGGTGGGTGGGAGGTGCCAGGTGCGTGAGTTTGGGGCATCAGGTGGGTGGGAGGCGCCTGCTGTGAGCAGGGGTGGTCCAGTCCGTAGTGAGCATAGCAGTCAGGTGGGCCATGGTGGGTATGAGTGGGGCAATTGACACACCCTTAACTAAGTGTGTATGTTACATGAAGCTATTAGCCAAGCTGTATGAGGGCTTATTAGGAGTCTGAGTTGGATGACTGGAACCATGGGACCTCTAAAGAGAGTCGAAAATCTGTGGCTTGTAATTTTTACAAGAGTATTTTATTCCGCTGTTATGTTCAACTGCATGTTGTCACCATAATCGTTCTCCCTTTCTATTATTTCTCGGACCTACTCTGTTGCCAGATCAGAGTACATGCGCGCCTCTTGGGCCATCCGTTGATCGGCGATGAAACGTACGGTGGATCAACACGCCACGTGTCATCGCGCCTTCTGGCATCGTTGCCCTCCTCTTCACCTCTCCGCTCGTCTGTGGTTCAATGGATTGCTGGGTTGGATCGCCCCCTGCTTCATGCAGCCACACTTGGGTGAGTGCAGGAACCAAGTATTGTATGGGTTATTGATGGGGATATTTATTCTATCTATGGGTTCTACGACGTTTACAAAAGTTTTCTTTATTCTGTGTGACCAGGTTCGTGCACCCGCATAAACTCGAAGTACTAACGTTTGAAGTTGCACCTCCGACTGACTTTATAAGGGCGTTGGATTTACTCAGATCGTTGTGACAAGGCTGGTGTGCTTGGTCATATGGCTCTTCCTCTTAGAATAGTGAAGAGTAGGCTTACAGTGCGGATACGTGGTCAAAGCAGTCTCGACACTAGCTGACCAATCATAGCTCTTCCCACATGCCCGCTCCGCTAAATTCTAGGGACACGAGGGCACTTTCGTCGCGCTGGCCGCGTGACATGCTCGTTGCCCAATGAGCTTCACAATCGTATCCACGTGTCATTCTCCTCAGCTTGTGACGGCTGAGTAGGCATTTTGCGGTGGTCTTTCTTGGCTAAATGCCATGTAATTACGAACTACTGTACTTCCTGGGCGATTCTTTGACGACGACTTGAGTTTGTTCATGGAACGAAACACGCCCTATTCTGGCTCGGCTGTATTCCGTCCTCCTTGCACATCCTCTTATTGCGACAGCAGCCGCTTCTCATTTTGCTCATTTTCCCGATTTTCGATCTGTTTTCTCCTAACTTGGTTTTCTTGATTTCGTAGCGTCTCCACGTCTACGTGTCGTAATTGCAGCTCTCTAACTCGCCGATCCCCCGACTTTTCTCTATCCTTCCAATTTAACCTAGGTTGCACCGCCAACCAAAACTAAAGTCACCTCAGTGCGAACAATCATGGAGTCCGTAAATCCGGCGATTCGTGTCTACGCGGCATCTGATTCATACGGCGCGACTCTTAGAAGCGCCATGGTGAGTTATCTTCGCTCGAAAGGCATACAGGTTGAAGACTACGGCGAAGACAAGTACTACACGGCGGCTGAACGCGTCGCCAAAAGCGTGGCAGCCGGTCGCTCGGCGACAGATTCTCCTAGTACCTGCGACACGCGCGGGCTGCTTGTGTGCGGAACCGGCACCGGCGTTACAGTTTTTGCGAATAAAATCTCGACAGTGTACGCCGTGCTGTGCGACACCGCTGACGTGGCGAAGAACGCCAGGTCGATTAATAATTGTAACGTTCTTTGCATGGGTCAATTTCAGACTTCTCCCGAGAAAGGGCAAGAGATTGTGGATGCGTGGCTTGCGACGGAATTTAAGGCGCCGTGTCCGGCTAGTGGTAACCAGGCGTGGAACAAGGAAGTATTTGATTTCCTGACAAACTCGCCTGAAGAAATGGCTGCAATCGGGAAGCCAGAATCTCCACAAGTACCTAGAGCTTCTAAACCAGGATGTGGGGTCTCACAAGAGGGCAAGGCCGCAGCATGAAGCAGCAAAGTTAATATCTCTTCAGGACAGTGCAAGAGGTATCTATCTTGTTTCATTCTCTAGGAGGCCTGGGATGAGGGGAAAAAGCCTTTGAGCCAAGTGATGTTGATGCGTGGTGTGGTGTATGGGTTCGTATTGTATATTTGGTAGTGGAATGTGTTGATAGGGGTGATATACATAGCAAAACTTGAAAGTGACAAGCTCTGAGCAGTTTCTAACAGGTTTGGAATGAGGTCATCAGGCTGATGAATGAACTCAGGGTTGAGAGAGCATCAGGCAGTCACAATTACGGTATTTATCACCTATCAACTCTCTGATAGACCTGCAATGTAGTGGTTACAGCAAGGAAAATATATTTTAAACACAAAGAGACAGGGAAAAGACTGGAAATGGGAACAAAGCTCAATATAGACTGCATATACATTGTTGTAATTGTGGAGTTGCTATGCTAAGTTGAAAGGATTGACATAAGTAATGTTCGATTCGAATTACATGCTGTGGTTTTATAGGTTAGCTTAATGCAGTCCGTCATCTTGTCTATAGTATTGAACAAACTTCCCAGATTAGGACATAAGTAATTAATGTATAACATTCTGGCAGTGTTCCCACCTGATCAAATCTCGCATATCTGCTCGGCAATCCCCACAAATACCAGTTCCAGTTTCGTGCTCGCCGTCTGCAGCCGCTGGTTTCGCCGCCGGCTGCGGGTGAATTTTACAGCCTCATAAGGAACCCTGAAAGACCTAGTAATCCATTTCCTCTTTAGCAGGAAGAAATTTACTACTCCTGTCGAAATACATTGATTCCTGACGAAAACGTCGCAATAGTTTGTGGACTTGACGATGCGGTCCGGTGGCTTCGGTCACGGGAGGGGCAGTGCGACTCGTACTGCTCCAACAAGCGGTGCTTCGCGAACTGGTAGTGCGAATGTAGCGACTGCCGTTGTAACCAAGGGAGCACTTTCAGTGAGGTCCAGCGGCTCTGATGACGCGCCGTCAAGGTACGACGAGGATCTTCCGGCGACCGTTGATCGTCGTTCAGAATGAAACAGGAAATTAGGAGACTCGTCATGTTACCGTACCGTATTTCATCTCAGCACTTCATCGTCCTTTCATCAACTCAGTGGGTACGTGTGTTTTATGACAGAGTTACGAACCCCATGGTACCGTACCGAATTCCATCTCAGCTCCTCGTCGTCCTGCCTTCTCGTAACAGCTGTCGCTTTCATTCGATCTCCACCGTCCCCCCAATTACAGGCGAACAACTGTTGGGTGGGTCGCATCGTTTCTCATTGGCTCGCTCCTGGGAGGAATTTTGACCGCAATCATAGTTCCTGCTGTGAGTGCTGCTTTCCTCTCACTGCACTCCCCTTCGTCCCTGTTTCCTTCATACTCTCCTTCATTCCCACTCTTTACTATTCCAAAGCATCCTTTCCACATGTTACGAATTTCAAGAACATTAGACCAACTGGTTTTCCATTACCATTTTCGAAATACTGGACCAGACCAGTTGGCCTAACGAACTGGTTATTAATATTAACGAATGAGTCTTTGCCTTTCCTTTCCATCCTCTGATCACTCTCTCCTCCCCTCTTTGCTCTTCAGGTCTTACCTCCTCCTCCGCCTTCCCCTGCCGTAGCAACCACCGCTTTCTCCTCCCCAATCGCTTTCATACCCACCACTACTGCAACCGCTGTTACCTCCGCTGCTCCTGCTGGTGTTTCCATGCCCATGTCAGCATCTGCTGACGCTGCCAACGTGGCTGCTGCTGCTGTGGCGGCTGACGTGGCTGCTGACGTGGATGCTGCCAGCATCGCCACGTGGAGAGGTGACGTGGCAGGCGTTCAGGCGGAGGCAGAGGAGCTGCTGGTGCAGAACACGGAGCTGCGCCGTGCGCTGGGGAAGCTGCGGCAGACGGTGATGCTGGAAGCACGGACTCGCATGGCTCAACTTAAAAGCATTCTTAAGGTAAATATCCCCACAGAGAAAGTTATTAAAGTGAGCTTTCTCAAGGTGCGAGTTGATTCCGATGTTGATATTTTGTTCCTTGTTTCCCTCCCCTCCCACTGCCATCACCACCGCCACCGCCGCCGCCGCCGCCATCACCACCACCATCGCCATTGCCATCTGGATTTGCCTGTCCTCCACCTTCTCATTCCCTTCTCATTCCCCTCACATGGGCTTTTTCAAACATGGACACTTTGTGATAACCAGGAGATCAAGGTGGTGCAGCAGCAGAGCAGCACGCGCTGACCTTGTATGCAGACGACAGGGGCTTCCTGCCCTCGCCACTCATTGCCACTCTGATCTATTTTAACTCTCTGCGCTCCTGCAATTTAACGTTTGTCATCTTAACTTAACCCTCTGCTTCCTCTTTAACCCTCTGCTCTCCTGCAATTCCCCGTTTCACTAAGAGATCAAGTTGGTGCAGGCCCAGCGCGCCCTGACCTACTATGTGGACCACAGCCACGTGCCCATCGCAGCCCTGATCTGTTTCCCCTTCTTCACACTCTCCTGCTCCCTTCCAATTCCCCATGTGACCAGGAGATGAAGCTGGTCCAGGCCCAGCGCGGGCCTTCCTTCCTGCGTGCCTGCCCACCTCTGACCTGCTTCCTCTTCACCCTCTGCTCTCCTTCCCTGTTCCACCAGGAGATCAAGCTGGTGCAGGACCAACGCGCCCTGACCTTCTACATGGACGACAGGCACCTGCCATCGCCACCACCAGAGCTGAGGGAGATTGCTGCACTGACTGCGAGGCGGCGACCGGATGTAGATGCCAAGGAGGAGGAGCTGGTAGTGAGAGCGCAGGTGGGTGGATGCGAGGCTGTGTGCGTGTGGGTGCTTGCATATGCCGAGGACAGGCACCTGCCATCGCCGGCCGCAGAGCTGAGGGAGGTTGGTGCACTGACAGCGAGGTGGCGACCGGATGTGGATGCGAAGGAGGAGGAGCTGGTAGTGCGAGCGCAGGTGGGTGGGAGATCGTGAGAGCATGAGACGATGATTGTGGTGTGGGCGGGCTTATTTTTCTGCTGGAGTAAATTGTGGGACGGTTCAAAACCCCATTCCCCCCTCCTCTCCCTTCGTCCCACACCGCCCAGATGCGGGTGCTGTCTCTGCAGGAGTAGATAGAGCGGGCCGTGCATGCTGACTTGTTTTGAGACATCTCAAGGTCACCCCTTCCCGCCCCCTCCCCCTCACTCACCCCTCCTCCTCACACACTGCCCCCAGGTGCGAGTGCTGTCTCTTCGGGAGGAGATAGAGCGGGCCGTGCATGCTGACTTGCGCCTCAGCTTCTCCCGCTGCGCTGCTGCACTGCAGCACACACAAGAGGCGCAGCAGGCGCACACACACGGTGAGAGTGAATAGCGGCGGGAGTAGCTGCGTGCCACATTCTCCTGCTGTGCTGCTGCAAATTCTTGCTTTTGTTTGTTTTGAAATTTTATTATTATTATAAAATTCATTTAATTTCGATAGATGGCGGTGTCTTGTCCCTTCTTTTCTCTCCTCCTCTCCCCTCCCTCCCATCAGCCATGCAAGCATACATGGCAGCGCATGCCACACTCTCCCTCCGCCTCACAGCTCTATCAGTACTTAAACAACCGGGCAGCGCAGAGAAGCTGCAGCGACTGAGAGAGCAGCCCAACCTGCTCTCCTCGCCTGCTGCTAGAAACGCCTTCCTCTCCTCCCTTGATGCACCAGGTGAGTCTGCTTGCACCTTATTCACTCTAGCACATGGCTCTATCAGTGCTCAAGCAGCGGCGCAGTGAAGAGAAAGTGCAGCGCCTGAGAGAGCAGCCCAACCTGCTCCACCACCCACCCACCCCCTCCCTCCAACCCCTCTCCCCTTCCCCTCCCTCGTATGTCCAGCAGAAGCATCACTGTGGACAGATCTCCTCTTCTCCGCGTCCCACTTCCCATCCATATTCCTCTGTATCAACTGCCACCCATCCACATTTACACCGACACCCACGGAACTTCTCCCCTCTCTCTCCCCCCCCGTATTTCTCAACTCGCCCACCCCCCTCCCCGTGTGTCCAGCAGAAGCATCACTGTGGGCGGATCTCCTCTTCTCCGCGTCCCACTTCCCATCCATATTCCTCTGTATCAACTGCCACCCATCCACATTTACACCGACACCCACGGAACTTCTCCCCTCTCTCTCCCCCCCCGTATTTCCCAACTCGCCCATCCCCCTCCCCGTGTGTCCAGCAGAAGCATCACTGTGGGCGGATCTCCTCTTCTCCGCGTCCCACTTCCCATCCGTATTCCTCTCCACCGACCATCACCCCTCGCGTGTCTCGTCCATGCAAAGCTTAGTTAACACCCAGAACGGCACGGTTCTGGCGCTTAAACTGCGCACCGACCATTCTGCTGCTGCAGTGAAGGAAGCCAAGGGGAAGCTTCCTGAGCTGTGCCACGTCAGCGCCTCCTGGGTGAGCCCCGAGGGTGCTGACGTGTCTCCGTGCGCGCTGGCCAATCGGATATCAGAAGAAGAGCGGGGAGGAAGGAACGGAACAAGCAAGGGCAGCGGAGATACAGAAGGAGGAGCAGGGATGGAGAAAAAGTCTGACGCTGTGAAAGAATCAGGCCCCCTGTCAGGGCCCTTAGCACCCTCTGCTCTGTGGCGACAACCCCTTTGGGACCTCTCCTTCCCCACCCATCCTTCCGCCTTTCCCGCCTTCCCTCACTCCTACGCCTTCAATTCTCCTGCCTCCTCCCCGTTCTCCTCCTCCGATTACTCCCCCTTCTCCTCCTTACTCTCATCACCGTCTCAATCGCCGGCTACAGATGGGGCATCTGTAGCAGGGCAATCCGCAACTGCTACAGATGCTGCTACAGGTGATGCTCATACCCAATCCCATTCAGCCGAATCTCCAGGTTCGTCCAGCGCCAGCTCACCCCCCGAATCTGCCACGTCATCACCCGCCACATCAGCAGCTGCAGTGAACATTTCCTTCCTAATCTACACTTCGCCGCCCACCACAGCCGCCCTAGATCTCGTCTCCAAGCTGTACGAGTGCACGCACGGGCGGCTCAGGGCGGGCAGCATAGGCGGGCGCCTGGGAGGGCTCACATCTGAAGCCTTGGTTCTCTTAGATGGCCCGTCCATCCCCCTGCACCACGCCTCTGCCATGGTCCGTCGTGGGAAGACGGCGGGTGGGGGTGGGAGCGGCAGTGGGGATAACAGCAGCAGCAGCAGCAGCGGCAAGGGTGGCAGCGGAAGCAACAGCACTGAAGGCATACCTGGCACAGTGCCAGGATTTGAAAAGTACTACAACCCTGCAGATTGGATCCAAGCAACCCGCCGAACCTCCCCAGGATTGTTCCTTACGCACATCCTCGCGCCATCCCGCATGGGTGCCGCCCGAGCCTATAACCTCCTCTCCCTCCTTGCCCGCGGCTCCATCCTCATTCTCCTCGCGGGCGGCGATCTGCCGCCCGACTCCTGCGATTGGGCGGCGAATCTCGTCGCGCCTTTTTCGGCGTGGCCCCGGCTGGGGATTGCAGGGCATTCGATGGGGAAGATGGGGCTGAGGAACGTTCCAGGAAGCCTGCAGCTGGGGGAGGTGCGGAGCGCAGGGGACCAGTTTTGGAACAGATTGAGGGACCCGGTGACAGGGGTGAGGATGAGCTTTGTGCTGGGGACAGTCACGGGGCCAATGGCGGCCAGGCGAGACGTGTTTGTGAAAGTGGGGGGGTTCAGTGCGGTTGATGGAGGTATAGATGCGCTATCGGATTGGGACCTCTGCCAGCATGTGTGGCTCTCGGGCCATCAGGTATGTGAATTCTTTATGGCCCGCATTCTTGTTTCTGTTATTTCTCCTTGTCCCTTTTCCTTGATGCATTCTCATGCTTGCATCCACGCTCTTCCAATAGTGTGTCCACTGTATGTCTTCTAATACTAGTTGCTCGCTTGTGTTTTTTGTTTTGCCTGTTTGATTTCTAGGTTGCGTTGGTGTATCAAGAACCAGAGCTTCGCTTTAAAACCACTGATGAGTTGACCAGAAGCCGTGACATGGCACGCTCAACCGAGTTATGGTCTCCAGACCATTCTGTGATCCATCCGAACCTTACAGACAGAATCATTTCTGAAGTGAAGCATATGAACAGATACCTCAAGCCGTTATTGATTTGGGAGTGAAGCTCAGTAGTATAGTAAGGTATAAATATGCTGCCAAGGCAAATATGCTGCAAGTTGTAGCCTTACAAAGTAAGCAGAACAGTGTTCTTTCGACGCTGTTCTCTCGATGTTATCAAGAATGCCTGCAGCATTGGTTTCTGTTACGAGTGCAATTGAACGAGCGAGTGAGAATTGCACTATCGAAGCAATCAATACAGTCTGAGAGATGGACATGAGCGAAGTTATATAGCGAAGCTAGCGTGGTAACGGTAATATGGGAAATTGGGGTGTGCTACGGGTTTAGTGTTGAGGGTTGGAGAATTGTCGAGGCGGAGGTCCGGAGCGCGGGTTACCAACCGAACCGTTAGGTTGGGTCGCGTCGTGAACAGTGGCGGGAGTCGTGGTCGAGGCGAGTGTCGTGAACGGGTAACGTTCATGGATGGGTGCTGATGGCGGGAACGGTTGTGTACGCGGTAAGCAGGGACGCGAAGTAAGGAAAAGGAATTTTTCTTACACTACCCCCCTCCCCAAGGAGGCCCCTCTTACGAGAGCGCGTGTACATCTCGGAAGTTTCGGCTGCGCAGAAACTCAGTGAGGACAGGGTGATTTTCAATTCTTTCCAAGGGGACCCAGTTGTCTTCGGTGGCCGTGCGATCTTTCCAGCGGATCAGGAATTCGATTCAGCGGGCTTCCCGTGGGTCACGTACTCGGTGGCTCAGTATTTTCTCAGGCGTGATGATTGGCTCTGTCGGCGGTCGTGTCATGCTGGCGGGGCGGTTGCGAGGTAGTTGGCTGGTGGATGGCACGTATGGGCGAAGCAGGCTGACGTGGAATGACGGGCTGACGTACCAGTCAGCAGGGAGGAGGAGATGGGCGGTGACGGGTGTGATCATGTGGCTGATGCGAAATGGCCCGCAATATCGGGGGCGGAGTTTTGGGGTGATGGGCAGGCGGAGGTTTTGAGTGTCGAGTAAAACTAAGTCGTCGGGCTGGTAAGTGACAGGTCGGCGGTGGCGGTCAGCGTTGCGTTTAGCGATGACGTTTGATTTTTTTATTGCTTCTGCTGCTCGGGTCCGTGCTGCTTGTAGTATCTCTGCGAACTGTTGCGCGCGTGGGACTGGGTTGTCGGGATTCGGGGTCATGGGTACTGTGGGGTCTTGTCCGCAGTTCAGGTAAAATGGTGACTGTTGGGTTGTGGCGGATGGCGAGTTGTTGTACGCGAATTCGATGAGTGGCAGTTGCTGTTCCCACGTGGTCGGATCGTCGCACGTGGCTCGGATGAGTTGCTCCATGGTCTGGTTTGTCTTTTTTGTCTGTCCGTCGGTCTCGGGGTGGTACGAGGAACTAAACTGTAGTCGCGTGCCGAACTGCTGCCACAAGTTCCGCCAGAAGTTGCTGGTGAATTTCGTGTCGCGGTCGCTGATGATCGCTGCTGGTATCCCGTGTAATCGAACGATGGTGGCGATGAAGAGGCGAGCTGTTTCTTCGGCTGTGATTGACTTCTTGCATGCTGCGAAATGAGCCATTTTCGTCAGCCGATCGACGACGACCAGGATCGCGTCGTTCCCACTTGATCCAGCCGGTAACCCCGTGACGAAGTCCATCGTCACCTGCTGCCAAGCACGCTCTGGGGGTGGTATCGGCTGCAACTGCCCTGCCGGTCGTTGTCGTGAAGACTTCATGAGCTGGCAGGTGGGACACGACGCCACGTGTCGTTGCACATCAGTCAACATTTCGGGCCAATAATAATACCGCTGTAGCTGCTGCCGTGTTTTTTCTACCCCGAAATGTCCCGAGGTAACTCCGTCGTGTGCCTCCTGTAATTCCCGTAGCAGTGTGTACCCTGGTACCCAGATGCGGTCGGTCCCGGCTTTTACGTAATAGACTCCCTTGGCTGCTGCGAACTGCTGCGAATTTCCTCCTGTGAAGAATGGGTCCGTTTGGTACCCGTGGGTAAATAGTCCTGTCAGGAGCGGGCTGGTCTGGGCGAGTAGTATCGCGTGGATATGGGCAGTGGGGCGGGTCAGTGCGTCAGCGATGTTGGATGCTCCCTTTTTGTAGGCGATCGTGTAGTGGAAGTTCGACTCGAGGAAATCGAGCCAGCGGATCTGTCGTGGGTTGAGGTGGGGTTGTGCGCGGAGGTACTGTAGGGATCTGTGGTCTGTCCGTACTGTCACGTCTGCGCCGGTCAAGTAACAACGCCAAAACTTGAACGCATGCACGATCGCAAGCATTTCGCGGTCGTGTATTGGGTAATTTTTCTCGGGCGGACGCAGCTTGCGTGACTCGTATGCGATGGGCTGTAGGCCGTTGCCGAAATCCTGTAGCAGTACGGCTCCAATGGCGATGTCGCTTGCGTCTGTAACGACTTCGAATGGGCGGTGTGGGTCGGTGATGCGCAGTACGGGCGGTGAACAGAGAACAGTTTTCAGGGCAGAGAAGGCAGCATGCTCTTTCTCCCCCCACGTTAAAGTGACCCCCTTCCGCAACAGATCTGTCAGTGGGGATGTTAACCTCGCCATGTCGGGGACGAACCGACGCACGTAGTTAACGAACCCTAAAAAACTCTGTAGCTCCGTGATGTTCGTCGGGGGGTGCCACGCTTTTACCGTGTCCAGCTTCTTTGGGTCGATTTCAACCCCAGCCTCCGAAATTACGTGCCCCAAGAATTCTAACCTATCCTGGAAGAACTCGCACTTGGAACCCTTGGTCAGTATGCGGTGCTCGTCTAAAACCTTAAAAACTGCTTCCAGATCTGCTAAGTGCTGCTGCTTATCCCTGCTGTAGACTAGGATGTCGTCGAGGTAAATTATCACGCATTTATCTAAGAGTGGCCTAAACGCCTCGTTCATGGTCATCTGAAATGTCGCCGGTGCGTTGGTCAGCCCGAATGGCATCACGGTGTATTCGAATGACCCGTATCGAGTTCTAAAGGCTGTTTTGGCGCAGTCCGATGGTTCGACTCTAATATGATGGTAACCTCCCCGTAAATCTATTTTCGAAAAAAACCCGTGCTGTTCGCAGTTGGTCGATCAGTTCGTCGGCGCGGGGAATGGGGTATCGCGACTTGACTGTTACCCGGTTCAGTGCTCTGTAATCGATGCACATGCGAAACCCTCCGTCTTTTTTCGGTGTGAACAGTATCGGGGCGGCGAACGGTGACGAGCTCGGTCGGATGAATTTTTTCTCTAACAGGTAGTCTAACTGCTTCCTCAGTTCATCGAGCTCGGGCTGTGTCAGTCTGAACTGTCGCTGTACGGTTGGCTGTGCCCCGGGTTCTAACTCTATGTGGTGGTTGTGTGCTCGCTGAGGTGGCAGTCCCTCCGGTAAGTCGTCGGGAAAAATCCCCGGGTACCGTTTCAACAGTTCCTGTAGTTCAGGTGGTACCGCTGCCAACAGTTTCTTGAAATCGCTCGGCTGTGCTGCTTCTTCTACTACTGCGATGTCCACTGCGTACACGTCAGCTCCAGCGGCGACTGCCCGTTTCATCGTGATAGCGTTGACATGGACCGTTGAAGACTCAGGCGACTGCCAGCGAGGTAGTTCAACCCAGTTACCGCTACTTCGCACAGTGCAGCTACCTGTCGTCCAGTCGATTCGCGGGTTATATCGTCGCAGCCAATCACGTCCCAGTAAAATGTCGTGCCCATCCAATGTCGTCGCGAGCATTTCCTGTGTAAACCCAAAGCTCCCCCCGCAGCGGACTTTCTCTCTCTCCACCTTCTCCCGTATGGCCAGCGGTGTTCCGTCAACTAAGCGTGCGTCTATTTCCGGTAAACACCGACTAAGTGCCAGTTGCAGCTGCCGGGCGGTCGCGGTATTAACTAAACTGTGACTTGCTCCTCCGTTTATAAAAATCTTCACTACTGCTCCCTGTATTTTCCCGTGGATCAGTACTGGGCAATCCGACGCTGTACCCTCCTTATTCATCTGAGCCCGATCGATAGCATGAATCGGTACTGTGACTCGGTGAGGGTCGGTGAGGTTGGGCGATCAGGCAGTCTCGTCATTAGTTGGCCCGATTCCTACTGACTGCTGGCGTTTCCCTGCCTTGGAGACTCCCTCCCCTTCTCTGCTCCGCGGCGCCTCAGCTCCTCTGGGCACTCACTCTTGCGATGGCCCGGCCTATTGCAAGCAAAGCAGCGCCCCTTAAACGGCGCGGCAGCTGCTTTTGTCGCAACGGCGTGTACAGTGGCGTGCTCGATCGGTCCCCGAGGGCGATGTCAGTAGTAGGACCCCGGTCTCGGACGGCGTAAAATGTCGATTTTCTCGGCGAGTGCGAGAATCTCGTTGAAATTCGAGAGTCCGCGTAGCATGATTTCGTGCGAGATGTCTGGCTTCAGCCCTCCGACATAACGGTCCACCCGCTCCGCTTCGTGCATGTAGCCGACTTGCTCGCATAATGCGAGAAAACCACTCGTGTAGTCTTGAACCGACCCGAGCTGCCGCCAAGTACGCAGTCTCTGACGCGCCGAAATAGAAGCCGCGATCGGCTCGAAGCGCGCCCGAAGCCCTGCGCACCACGCATCCCACGTGCTGTACTGGGCTGTTTCGCAGAATGAACTCCAGGTGACGGCTGGACCCGTGGGCCCTTCCTCTTGCGACGGTGGCTCGTAGGCGCGTGGCGACGTCACGATGACTCGCCACCAGTCCATAGCGGGGCCCCTCAGCAGCGAGACGGCGTATCTGATCTTCGCTGCGTCCGACTCGACGTAGTTTGCGTCGAAGAAAACGTTCATCGTGAAGACCTACGACTGAACCGTCGGACCTCCACGTTGGCTCGGGTCGAAGCAGGGCGGGCGCTGCGGCTTGAGTGGCATTGGTGCCATGCTGGCGTGGTCGCCACTTGTCGCCGCAAATTCTACGTGCCGACGGGCTTCACGGGGCTCCCGTGGGCTTGGCGCGGCCCTGTTACTTTCCATGCCAGGCATCGATTGAGCGGCGCCATCACTGGCTGCGCCTGAGCGCTGTCCCACGCTGTCGTTTTGTGTCAGTGTGCCTGATGAAATGATGATTGGTTCCTCCGATTGTGCGGGTACATTTGCAGGTGCGTGTGGTGGCGCTGGAGCATTCACCGTAGATTGCTGACGAGCGGAATCACGTTCCGCAGTGAGCGTCGCAATTTCGAGCGCCGATTCTTCGAGTTGGCGCACGAGACGATCGAGGTGCTCCTGTGTCAGTGTCGCGAGATTAAGTTCAGCCATGGCGGGGGTGTCGGGCAAGCTCAGCGAGAGCCTCGGTCGTGGCTGTGCGTGCTTACGAGAGAGCACTCGAGCGGCGGTGCTTGTTCGCTGAGAGACGTCTACCCCCCCCAAAAATTGAGATAGTGGGGAAGCGAAAGTGTGGGTGCGGTCCGAGAGAGATCGTAGGCTCTGATACCAAGTGTTACGAGTGCAATTGAACGAGCGAGTGAGAATTGCACTATCGAAGCAATCAATACAGTCTGAGCGAAGGACATGAGCGAAGTTATATAGCGAAGCTAGCGTGGTAACGGTAATGTGGGAAATTGGGGTGCGCTACGGGCCTAGCGCCGAGGGTTGGAGAATTGTCGAGGCGGAGGTCCGGAGCGCGGGTTACCAACCGAACCGTTAGGTTGGGTCGCGTCGTGAACAGTGGCGGGAGTCGTGGTCGAGGCAAGTGTCGTGAACGGGTAACGTTCATGGATGGGTGCTGATGGCGGGAACGGTCATGTACGCGGTAAGCAGGGACGCGAAGTAAGGAAAAGGAATTTTCCTTTGAGTTTCACCTTTCTTGCCATCACCAAAGCCGTCACGCGTCACCGCACCTACCACTTCGACTCGGCCTTGAGATCATTGTCGTCGCCTCGTCACCCCAACCTCCCGATTTCATCATGACCATACAGCTCCGCCCTTGGGATCACCTTTCACCTCACCACCAGCATCTTATCCCCTGAACACCACCTCCCGCCACTCGCGACCACGTAGCGCCGCTCTCCACCATCTTTACCTCACCTCACATAAACTCGTTCACCGCTTTTCAACAGGACTATGGGGCATTCTGGCTGTCAGTGCAGGCACCCTGGTCACAAGCACTCTTCATTCACAACATATCACATCAATAGTTTCACCTAGCGTATCCTTTCGATCAGCGTCCTTTTGAAGCCGCGACGTGGGCGGATGAGAGCTGCGGCTTTCCAGGTCGGTCGTTTATGATGGGATTCTCAACGCGAGAGCTCTTCAGAGTCGTATAATGACCATCATTCGTGGCTTGAAATCAATGCAGTGATCATGCGTGACATGCTCGCTGGGTTCAGAGAAGTTATGAATTTTCGTGATTAGGAACAAGCCCCGCAACCAGCGAACTGCAGCCATTTCATCGACAAAAGCCGCTTCTTGTGAAACCGCAATTTGCGGAATTCAACTGTCTTAGTACCATGCGCGACCTTATGTACAAGCCAGTATGACATCTGGACTTCAGGAAGAGTAGAATTTGTTGTATTTATACGATATTTCAAATCCCCTGAGTAACCATAGGATTCTTCCGTCTAGGCAGCCAGTGGTGGTGTCGCCGTATTTACGTGAGTGAAAGTAATAACCCCTGTTAGCCTGTACTATGCTGTTAGCCTTACATTAGGCTGCTACTCTAGCACTAGGCTTGCAGTTCTTGACGTCGTCAGGCTCGGTGCAAGATGGATTTTCCCCAGCCTAAGTTCCCGGCTCGGATAGGCGGCCTATCGTGGAATGACGACGGCGATGACTCCGACTCGGAATCAGAATCGGGATCCATGGGAAGCGGCGTGGGCCTCTTAGGAGGCTCTGGCGAAATTCCCCGCTCCGAAAGCTCCGCCTGGAAAGCCGGCCGCGGGGGAAGCGTAGGGGGAGGAGGGGAGAGAAGTGGGAGTTTATTAGGGGGTGCTGGCGACATAGCAGGTATCGGGTTCAGCGGCGGGCTCAGCGGCGTAATTAGCGGCGGAATTAGCGGCGCTAGCAGCGGCAGCGGAGGGGGAGGAGGGGAGAGGAGGGTGAAGTTCGATACTCCAGACGCTCCGGCATCGGTCTCGACCACAGGCGGAGCTCCAGCTCCTCCTAAGCCTCGTCATTCCCGCGCGCTGTCGTCCGAAGCTCCTGACTTGCTCGCGCCCAAACCTAACGCCCGCCGTGCACGGACGACTGCCTCTGCTATTTTTACTCGGCCTAATCAACCAAGCGTTTCAGGTATGTTCGTTTTGCCAAGCCAGTCCCTTTCTTTCTCTTCCCTCTGTGTTGTCCCGCTTGTTCCCATCCACCCACTAACTCCCTTGTAGAAGCATGGTGTATTCATGACGTCATTTCTTGAACCTGCTGTGCGTCGTCCTCCCTATTACAGGCTCCGATAGTATTCCCCAAGACGCCTCCGCGGACAGATTCGCTTCCCCCGGGGGGTTTCGCCGGCAGCGCCAAGACTCCATTGGGGGAGGCATCCCTGGCGCGGGGGGGATGCGCCAGATGCTCACTCCGGGCAGCGCCGCCGCAGCAGCCGCGCGGCAGCGGCGCATGTCCGTCCAATTCGCGTCAGGCTTCTCAAAACCCACGGGATTGCAGCTGCCAGGGTCCGTGGGGCAAGGCGGACCCATGACCCCCACCGCTGGAGGCAACCCCACAACTGCGACTAAGAAAGTGCAGAAATCGATGATGATGTGCATGGATCCGACGTGTAACGCGTGCCCGCCTGAAATGCATGCTCTGCGGAATAAGAAACTCATGGCTCAGGTTATAGACGAGTTTCCGGAGCCTATGGCAAGGCCCACGAGGCGAGGGGGGAGGGGAGGCGGAAGGGGAGGAGGAGGGGATGATGATGATGACAGTGATTATGATTTTGATGATGATGATGACGATGATGATGACGAGTATGGGTATGATTATGACGCGGAGCAGGGGCAGCGGACGATTGTGCGCTTCTGTGGAGTCACTTGCTTCACATACACCTCCAAGGTGAGGAGACGTTGCTCCTTGGAGTCCAAGGTGAGGCTAGTAGCTCTGTGGGTAGGCTCTGCTCCTCTCACTCACCCGGGATATGATTCCTTCTTTTTCTCGTTGCAACCTTCACTCTAGTGCATGAAATCCGACTTCGTCTCACTCCCATCTCACTCCATCCCTCTCTATTGCAATCCATCCCACTCACTTGCCATCTCACTCCTCCCAGCCGAAGCGCAAGAAGCGCAAGTCACGGTGGACCAAGGCTTGGCAGGACGTGCAGGACTTGTTTCAGCCCATCAGCATGCTGTGGCAGCCATGGGGCATCCTGAACCCTCCTCTCCTGCTCTCTCTCCCTCACCCTTCTCTCACCCCACCCAGCCGCCAAAGCGCAAAAAGCGCAAGTCGCGGTGGACCAAAGCCTGGCAGGACGTGCAGGACTTCTTTCAGCCCGTCAGCATGCTGTGGCAGCCGTGGGGCATCCTGAACCCGCATTCCAAGTTCATGGCGCGGTGGAACAAGGTGTTCATGGTGGCGTCCATTCTTGGATTCACCATTGATCCCTGGTTCCTCTTCACCCTCCAGGCGCTCAACCAAGTGGCGCCCCAGCCGGTGAGAAGGAGGGAGGGAGCGAGGGAGGGAGGGAGGGAGGGAGGGAGGGAGGGAGGGAGGGAGGGAGGGAGGGAGGGAGGGAGGGAGGGAGGGAGGGAGGGAGGGAGGGAGGGAGGGAGGGAGGGAGGGAGGGAGGGAGGGAGGGAGGGAGGGAGGGAGGGAGGGAGGGAGGGAGGGAGGGAGGGAGGGAGGGAGGGAGGGAGGGAGGGGTGGATGTAGTGAGAGAGGGAGGGAGGGAGGGAGGGGTGGATGTAGTGAGAGAGGGAGGGAGGGAGGGAGGGGTGGATGTAGTGAGAGAGGGAGGGAGGGAGGGAGGGGTGGATGTAGTGAGAGAGGGAGGGAGTGAGTGAGGGAGGGAGTGAGTGAGTGAGTGAGTGAGTGAGGAAGTGAGGCGCATGGCAGCACTCCAAGTTCATGGCGCGGTGGAACAAGGTGTTCATGGTGGCGTCCATTCTTGGATTCACCATTCCGAACCGTCACACGTGAGGCGCTCAACCAAGTGGCGCCCCAGCCGGTGAGAGGGTGAGGGAGAGGTGGGGAGAGGGAGAAAGCGAGTGAGGGAGTTGGTAGTGAGTGAGGGAGTCGGTGAGGGAGTGATGAAGGGAGGGAGTGAGGGAGGTAGGTAGGGAGTGCGGGAATGAGGGGGGGAGGGAGGGACGGAAGGAGTGAGGGAGCGGGGCGCATGGCAGCACTCCAAGTTCATGGTGCGGTGGAACAAGGTGTTCATGGTGGCGTGCATCCTGGGCTTCACCATATATCCCTGGTTCCTCTTCACCCTGCAGGCGCTCAACCAAGTGGCTCCCCAGCCGGTGAGAGGGTGAGGGAGGGAGGGAGTGAGAGAGGGAGGGAGTGAGGGAGGGAGTGAGGGAGGGAGGGAGGGAGGGAGTGAGGGAGAGAGGGATAGGATTGCAGGCATGGGCCTCATGCCGCTATGCATGTGGCATGCCGTCTCTATTTGCTCTTCATCAATGAGAGTAATCCACCACATCCTTTTGCCCTGCCCAACTAGAGCACTCCTTACCAAATCCCCACCCTGTGTCTGACCCTGGGCTGGACGGCAGCATATCCCCTCCTTCACTGCTTACGTTGAGTCAGCTCCAGCCATCCTTCCCCACCCTTTGCCCCCCCCGCCAGGCCATGCTGTGCCTCACTCTGGTCTGGACGGCAGCCATCACCTTCAGTGCTTCTTGGGTTGACTGAAGCAATGTCCAAACTCCCTTGAGCAACCCATCGAGTCGACTCACAAACCATTCTCTCCCACCCCCCACCGTGACCCGCCAGGCCATGCTGTGCCTCACTCTTGACTGGACGGCAGCCATCACCTTCACTGTGCTGCGCTCCTTTGTCGACCTCTGCTACGTCATTCAAATCGTCGTTCAGGTGACAATCTTACGGACCACCACTGTTCAGTTCAGTGCCCGCCCCGCCCACCACGTTCATATGACGCACTTACTGACCACTGGTCACTTTTGAGGTACCTGAAAGCCATCGCCATCACCTTCACTTCACTGTACTGTGCTCCATCGTGGACCTTGGCTACGTCATTGTCATTCAGAGATCTTCGTTCAGGTGACAATCTTACGGACCACCACTGTTTAGTGCCGCCCACCACGTTCACTGTACTGTGCTCCATCGCGGACCTTGGCTACGTCATTCAGAGATCTTCGTTGAGGTGATGGTGCAGTGGTCCATTAGGTGATGCTTGCTTACTGACCACTGCCCAGCCCAGTGCCCACCACGTTGTTTCAGTTTCGGTTTCAAATGATATGCTTGAGCTGCATCATTCATATCATGCTCCATGCATCATCCCACCGACCCACCCTTACCCCCCCTCCCCTCCCCGTTTCCTCCTCTTTTGTTCCAGACACCTAAAATGTTGCATCTTCTTCCTTCCTTCCAATTTCCCCCACTCACTTCCATATGGCCTACATTGCCTCCCCACCAAGCCAACTAATGGCACAATATCCTGTCGTCTGCTGCCAGCTGGCGACCCAACAGAGCCCAGATGATTGCACCCTCTTCCTTCCACCCTCCCAAACCTCCACTTCAAACCCTGAACCCTAAACCCGAGCTCGAACTCAATGACCTTTATAACTCCCCTTAAACCCATTCTCACCCACCAACCGCCGCCTTCCTCTGCGTCCCTACCAGTTCCGCATGGCCTACATCGTGCCGTGCCGCCCCCCACCCCACCAACCGCAAGAACCGATTCTTCTGCTGATGGCGGGCCTGCAGAGTAGAGCCCAGAATAGCACACCCTCTCTCACCCCTCCAATCACTCTCTTCCAAACCCCAAACCCCAAACCCTTGAACTCCCACCCTCTCCCATCCCCTCCCTCCCCACCTTCCCGCCCCCTTTTCCCCCACTTTCCTTCACTCCCCCCAGTTCCGCATGGCCTACATCGTGCCGCCCCCCACCAACCGCAAGAACCGCTTCTTCCGCCGCTGGTGGGCCGACCGCTCCCTGCAGAGCCCAGGCGACCTCGAGTTTGACGCGCGCGTCATTGCCAGCCGCTACCTGCGCTCCTGGTTCCTCATTGACGTGCTGGCTGCCCTGCCCATCCCCCAGGTGAGGGCTACCCCCCAGGTGAGTCAGACCTACCCCAGGTACCGCCTGTCTGTTTCACTCACTCGGCACCCGTGCAGAGTCCGGCCGACCTCGAGTGTGACGCACGTCGCACGGGTCATTGCCAGCCGCCACCTGCGCTCCTGGTTCCTCATTGACGTGCTGGTGGCGCTGCCCATCCCCCAGGTGAGGCCCACCCTACTCCAGCACTGCTTTCCTCCCCCTCAAGCAGCACACTACACCACATCTCATCTCAGGTACTGCCTGTCCCAGCCGCTACCTGCGCTCCTGGTTCCTCATTGACGTGCTGGTGGCGCTGCCCATCCCCCAGGTGAGGCCCACCCTACTCCAGCACTGCTTTCCTCCCCCTCAAGCAGCACACTACACCACATCTCATCTCAGGTACTGCCTGTCCCAGCCGCTACCTGCGCTCCTGGTTCCTCATTGACGTGCTGGCCGCCCTGCCCATCCCCCAGGTGAGTCGGACCTACCCCACCCCACTGGGTGCTGCCTTGTTATCCCCAGGTGATGCCTACTCCAGGTGGGACCTACCCCAGGTGGGACCTAGGTGGGACCTACCCAAGGTACTTCCTTTGTCGCACTCAGCACACGTGCAGAGCCCGGGCGGGCGACCTTGAGTTTGTCTCGCGAGCCATGGCCAGTCGCTCCTGCTGTGCCCCAGTTTAACCCTGCTGTGTTCTTCCTGTTCTCCTTCAATCCATTTTTTCCCCACTTTCTTCTAACCCGCTCTGCCCTACCCTCCACCCCCACCCCACCCCCAGATAGTGATGCTGGTGATAGTGCCAATGATGGGTCGATCAGTCCCCTCCAACACCGGAGTCGCCATGACAGTGCTCTGCCTCGCAGCCCTCTTCGCTCAGAACGTCCCCCGAGCCATCCGCTTCTTCCCCATCCTCTCGGGCAACGCGCCGCACGTCACGGGACTCGTGTTTGAGACGGCGTGGGCCAACTTTCTCCTCAACTTCGTGTTCTATCTCATGGCGTCCAACATCGTGGGCAGCATGTGGTACTTTCTCGCTGCCTCGGTGAGTGTCTTTCCCTGCCTTGAGATGGTCCTGACTTGAGTGTTGAGGGTGTCTGTTTTGGTGATTCTCGAGGCTGTTAGAAAGGCAAGGGGCTGGTGTTTGAGACGGCGTGGGCCAACTTCCTTCTCAACTGCGTGTTCTACCTCATGGCGTCCAACATTGTGGGCAGCATGTGGTACTTTCTCGCTGCCTCGGTGAGTGCGTTCTGTTTTGGCCTATAGTTTTCTGCCTTGAGGCACCACTGCACTTATTAGGCAAGGTATCAGGCCCCTAGAGGCACCAACTGCCCCGTCTCAACTGCGTGTTCTATCTCATGGCGTCCAACATTGTGGGCAGCATGTGGTACTTTCTCGCTGCCTCGGTGAGTGCGTTCTGTTTTGGCCTATAGTTTTCTGCCTTGAGGCACCACTGCACTTATTAGGCAAGGTATCAGGCCCCTAGAGGCACCAACTGCCCCGTCTCAACTGCGTGTTCTATCTCATGGCGTCCAACATTGTGGGCAGCATGTGGTACTTTCTCGCTGCCTCGGTGAGTGCGTTCTGTTTTGGCCTATAGTTTTCTGCCTTGAGGCACCACTGCACTTATTAGGCAAGGTATCAGGCCCCTAGAGGCACCAACTGCCCCGTCTCAACTGCGTGTTCTATCTCATGGCTTCCAACATTGTGGGCAGCATGTGGTACTTTCTCGCTGCCTCGGTGAGTGCGTTCTGTTTTGGCCTATAGTTTTCTGCCTTGAGGCACCACTGCACTTATTAGGCAAGGTATCAGGCCCCTAGAGGCACCAACTGCCCCGTCTCAACTGCGTGTTCTATCTCATGGCGTCCAACATTGTGGGCAGCATGTGGTACTTTCTCGCTGCCTCGGTGAGTGCGTTCTGTTCTGGCCTATAGTTTTCTGCCTTGAGGCACCACTGCACTTATTAGGCAAGGTATCAGGCCCCTAGAGGCACCAACTGCCCCGTCTCAACTGCGTGTTCTATCTCATGGCGTCCAACATTGTGGGCAGCATGTGGTACTTTCTCGCTGCCTCGGTGAGTGCGTTCTGTTTTGGCCTATAGTTTTCTGCCTTGAGGCACCACTGCACTTATTAGGCAAGGTATCAGGCCCCTAGAGGCACCAACTGCCCCGTCTCAACTGCGTGTTCTATCTCATGGCGTCCAACATTGTGGGCAGCATGTGGTACTTTCTCGCTGCCTCGGTGAGTGCGTTCTGTTTTGGCCTATAGTTTTCTGCCTTGAGGCACCACTGCACTTATTAGGCAAGGTATCAGGCCCCTAGAGGCACCAACTGCCCCGTCTCAACTGCGTGTTCTATCTCATGGCGTCCAACATTGTGGGCAGCATGTGGTACTTTCTCGCTGCCTCGGTGAGTGCGTTCTGTTTTGGCCTATAGTTTTCTGCCTTGAGGCACCACTGCACTTATTAGGCAAGGTATCAGGCCCCTAGAGGCACCAACTGCCCCGTCTCAACTGCGTGTTCTATCTCATGGCGTCCAACATTGTGGGCAGCATGTGGTACTTTCTCGCTGCCTCGGTGAGTGCGTTCTGTTTTGGCCTATAGTTTTCTGCCTTGAGGCACCACTGCACTTATTAGGCAAGGTATCAGGCCCCTAGAGGCACCAACTGCCCCGTCTCAACTGCGTGTTCTATCTCATGGCGTCCAACATTGTGGGCAGCATGTGGTACTTTCTCGCTGCCTCGGTGAGTGGTTTTTGTCGTGATGGTTCTGAATTGAGTGTTGAGGGTGTCCGTGTAGGGGATTCTTGAGCCTGTTAGAAAGGAAAGGGGCTCGTGTTTGAGACGGCCTGGGCCAACTTTCTCCTCAACTTCATGTTCTATCTCATGGCCAATTTCTATCTCGACTTTGAGACGGCGTGGCGTGGGCCAACATTGTGGGCAGCATGTGGTACTTTCTCGCTGCCTCGGTGAGTGCCGTGTCGTTTGTTTGTCCTCGCTTGCACATGCCCCCCTCCTCCCCCCCCCCCCCTCTTCCTCCCTCATCCCAGTCTCACTCCCTCTCACAATCCTACACTCCTTGGCCAGTTGAATGGATTTTTCTACGCCCCCTTCCTTTTACCCTCCCTTCCTGCACCCCATACCACTCCCCATTCCCTCCCGGCAGCGCTTCACAACGTGTATGGTGGACCAGTGTGCCACTCAGGGAGACGTCTGTCAGCCCGAGTACATGTACTGTGTCGACCACAACTCCATCGCCTACCAGAACCCAGCAGCCGAGGCGGCATGGGCCACAGGCCCTGCCAGCGCATGCCTTCCGCCTAACAACCCCTTGCTGCACCCTCTCCCTACACCTCCCTCCCCCTCTCACCCTCCCCTTTCTCCCTGCAGCGCTTCACAACGTGTATGGCGGGCCAGTGTGCCACTCAGGGAGACGCCTGTCAGCCCGAGTACATGTACTGTGTCGACCAAAACGCCATCGCCTACCAGAACCCAGCAGCCGAGGCCGCGTGGGCCACAGGCCCTGCCAGCGCATGCCTGGTGTCAGACAATCCGAGCAGTGACGCCCCGCCTACCCCAATCGATTACGGTATCTTCACCAACGCGGTTCCGCTCGTGGTGGAAGGCGCGTTTCTCTCCAAGTACATCTACTCCTTCTTCTGGGGCTTCCAGGTGCGTGCCTCCCTTTCCAGGTGCGTACCTACCCTATCCACTGGGACTTCACCTCACCTGGTAACGAGTGTGTGCGTCTACACATCAATCAGTCACCTCCCCTGGTGGTGGAAGGCGCGTTTCTCTCCAAGTACATCTACTCCTTCTTCTGGGGCTTCCAGGTGCGTGCATTTATATGGTTGCTTGCGGGTTAGGGTGTGCTCTCTCCCCACAACACAGCAGCAGAGGCCGCGTGGGCCACATGGCCTGCCAGCGCGTGCCTGGTGCTGGACAATCCGAGCAGTGATGCCCCGCCTACCCCAATCGATTATGGAATCTTCACCAACGCGGTTCCGCTCGTGGTGGAAGGGACGTTCCTTTCCAAGTGCATCTACTCCTTCTTCTGGGGCTTCCAGGTGTGAATATGCCTCCCTTCCTCTGTCCCTAGCATGGATGGATGGAATTTCTTCTCATCATCATTGCGGGTTGGGATGTCTTCTCTCCTCCAGAATACAGCAGCTCTGTCCTCCCATCACCCTCCCCCGCCCCACCTCGCAACAAGTGAGCATCCCAGCTGGCAGGCAACCTGCTGCAACCATATAGTCCCGAATCTGGGTTCCAGAGCCTCAGAGATAGGCTCCCCTGTCCTCCCATCACATCCCCCTCACGTCCACCCTCTCTCCTCCCCCCTCCCCCCTTCCCGCACGCCACAGCAAGTGAGCACACTAGCGGGCAATCTGCAGCCGTCGAGGTGGGATCCCGAGGTGCTCTTTGTCATCCTCGTTATAGGGCTGGGGCTCGTGCTGCTCGCACTGCTTATTGGCAACATCTCCAACTTTCTACAAGCGCTCAGTAGAAGGTAGGTAGTAATTCTTACATGTGTTTGTTCGTTTATTTATCTACGTTTGGTTTTGGGATGTACTTACAAACATGCTTCCTGCAAAAGCAACGGGTCTTTTCGCAATTTCTTTGCCAGTAGCAAAATGCTTTTTTTGTTTGTGTTTGAGCCAACTGTAAGGTCACACCCCGTTACTCCTCCTCTCTGTCTCCCCCACTGCCCCTTCCTGTACTGCTGCTGCTGCTCCGTCCCTTCCCCTCCCTTCTCTTTGCTAGGTCTTTTGAGTACCAGTTGCAGCGGCATGACATTGACTCGTGGATGGAGAGACGCAACCTGCCCCTCAGCCTCCAAAAGTGACTCTTCCTCACATGCTCCACTCTCATCCCCCCCCCCTATTTGTTTTTTTTTGTTCCTGGTGGTTCGCTGAAAATATTTAATTAAAAAAGGGTACATTATGGCCTCCAAGTCAAGTGCGGCTAATTAAAGTTATCAATTCATTACTTTCCACACCCATTGCTCTTTCTCTTCCCCTTCTCCCATTCACCACACCCGAACCCATCTCCTCCTCCCTCTCTCTGTCCATCTCCCGTTTGGCGAATTCCAAGGCGCCTCAAAACTCAACACCTCTTTGCTCTCTCCGTTTCTCGCCCAGGCGCGTGCAGAAGCAGCAGCGGCTGCACTGGGTGGCAACGAGGGGAGTGGAGGAGGCGGAGGTGCTGGATAAGCTGTCGGACGACATTCAGACGGACGTGCGCCGCAGCCTCTGCCTCGAGCTTCTGCAGTGTGTGAGTGTTGTAGTGTGTGAGTCGTGCTGAGTGTGTGAGTGCGGTAGTATGGGTGGGAGGGAGAGAGTGTGTGGGTGGTGCAGTGAGAGTGCAGTAGAGCGGATGGGAGTGTGGGTGGGAAAGTGTGTCAGGGGTAGAGTGTGAGTGGAGGAGGCGGAGGTGCTGGATAAGCTGTCAGACGACATTCAGACGGACGTGCGCCGCAGCCTCTGCCTCGAGCTTCTGCAATGTGTGAGTGACTGTGTGTGTATGTGTGTGTGTGTGTGTGTGTGTGTGTGTGTGTGTGTGTGTGCGTGCTGGGCTGTGGGTGCTGCTGTGTGGATGGGAGAAAGTATGCAAGAGGTGGAGTGTATGAGTGGTGCTGCAGTGTATGAGTGGTGCTGCAGTGTATGAGTGGTGCTGCAGTGTATGAGTGGTGCTGCAGTGTATGAGTGGTGCTGCAGTGTATGAGTGGTGTTGCAGTGTATGAGTGCTCCTCAGTGAGTGAATGGTGTGGTGTAGTGTGTGTGTGGGTGGTGCAGCAGTGTGAGTGTTGGTGGACTGTGCCTTATGACGCTCGCCCTGCCAGCCATTTCCCTTGATCCCCCTCCTTTGGTACTGCTCCCCTATCTCTCCTCCCCCCACCCCATCCACCAGTCCGCCCTCTTCTTTGCGATGGAGCCGTAGGTCCTGGACGCGTTTTGTGAGAAGCTGAGGCAGCAGCTGTACATAGAGGGCACCGTCATCCTCAAGGAGGGGTACCCCACCTCCCCGCATCCCATGTGCGCCCCTTTTTCCCCCACTTTCCCCAATCCCTCCACACCCTTCCCCCCGGGGTCCCCATACTCTCTCCCTCCCCCTTTGCCCCTCCCTTTCCCCATCCCCCAGTCCGCTCTCTTTTTCGCCATGGAGCCGCAGGTGCTGGACGCCTTTTGTGAGAAGCTGCGGCAGCAGCTGTACATCGAGGGCACCGTCATCCTCAAGGAGGGGTACCCCGTGTCGCTTCACCCAGTGTGTGCCCCCCTTTCCCCCCCCGTTCCCCTCCTCTCTGCCCCAGTCGGCCTTGTTTTTCGCCATGGAACCTCAAGTTTTAGACGCGTTCTGTGAGAAGCTGAGGCAGCAGCTGTACATCGAGGGCACCGTCATCCTCAAGGAGGGGTACCCCGTGTCCCTTCACCACACCCAATGTGTCCCCTCACCCTTTCCGCCCGTCCCCCTGTTACAGTCCGCGCTCTTCTTTGCCATGGAACCCCAAGTACTAGACGCCTTCTGTGAGAAGCTGAGGCAGCAGCTGTACATCGAGGGCACTGTCATCCTCAAGGAGGGGTACCCCGTGTCCCTTCACCACACCCAATGTGTCCCCTCACCCTTTCCGCCCGTCCCCCTGTTACAGTCCGCGCTCTTCTTTGCCATGGAACCCCAAGTACTAGACGCCTTCTGTGAGAAGCTGAGGCAGCAGCTGTACATCGAGGGCACCGTCATCCTCAAGGAGGGGTACCCCGTGTCCCTTCACCACACCCAATGTGTCCCCTCACCCTTTCCGCCCGTCCCCCTGTTACAGTCCGCGCTCTTCTTTGCCATGGAACCCCAAGTACTAGACGCCTTCTGTGAGAAGCTGAGGCAGCAGCTGTACATCGAGGGCACCGTCATCCTCAAGGAGGGGTACCCCGTGTCCCTTCACCACACCCAATGTGTCCCCTCACCCTTTCCGCCCGTCCCCCTGTTACAGTCCGCGCTCTTCTTTGCCATGGAACCCCAAGTACTAGACGCCTTCTGTGAGAAGCTGAGGCAGCAGCTGTACATCGAGGGCACGGTCATCCTCAAGGAGGGGTACCCCGTGTCGCGCCTCTTCTTTGTGCTGCGCGGCCAGCTCGAGAGCTACACCATCATCGGGGGTTGCTTGCACCCCCCTCCCCCACTCCCCTTGCCCTTGCGCCCTAGGGCCCCCATACTCTCTCCCCCCCCTCCTTCCGTCCCCCATCTCACCCCTCTTTCCCCTGCCCCAGTCGGCGCTCTTTTTCGCCATGGAGCCGCAGGTCCTGGACGCGTTTTGTGAGAAGCTGAGGCAGCAGCTGTACATAGAGGGCACGGTCATCCTCAAGGAGGGGTACCCCGTGTCGCGCCTCTTCTTTGTGCTGCGCGGCCAGCTCGAGAGCTACACCACCATCGGCGGGCGCGCAGGCTTTGTGGACAGTGTGCTGCTGGGGAAGGGGGACTTTCTGGGGGAGGAGCTTCTGGTGGAATACCTCGAGAAGCTGTCGGACGGCAACAAGAGCCGACGCTCAGGCACCCAGATTCGCTACCTGGGCCGATGTGAGTAGCGGCCTCCTGGGGTTGTGTTGTTGTCAAGGCCGAGTTGTGTTTGTGGACAGCGTGCTGCTGGGCAAGGGGGGCTTCCTGGGGGAGGAGCTGCTGGTTGAGTACCTTGAGAAGCTGTCGGATGGCAACAAGAGCCGGCGATCTGGCACCCAGATTCGCTACCTGGGCCGATGTGAGTAGCCCCTTCCTGGGCATGTGGACAGGTGGGGGTTGGGAGGGGTGTGCTGTTGGGGAAGGGGGACTATCTGGGAGAGGAGGTGCTCGTAGAGTAGCTTGAGAAGCTGTCAGACCGCGTCAAGAGCCGGCGCATGGGAGCCTGCATCTGGTATTTGGGCCGATGTGAGTCTGACCATTTTGATCCGATTGGATCGGATCTGTCCTGATCTGGATCTGATCTGACCTGCCCTCATCTGATCTGACCTGCAGTCGTGACCATGTCTCCTCTTCTTTCCCCCATTCCCCATCCCCCATCCCCCATGCAGCCATAACGATGGGTGCGAGCGCATCGGCGTCAGCAGCAGCGCTGGGCACATTAGCAATCGACGTGCTGCCGACAGCGCAGCGCACGGTGCGGTGCATCGGGCCCGTTGAGGGCTACGAGCTTGAAGCCACCGATGTGGCCGTGGTGTGCCGGCAGTTCGCCCGCATGCTCGCCACCAGCAAGATCCAGGCGGCCCTCAAGTAGGTGTTCTGTTCTACCCCTGCACTTCTTGCTTGTTCTGGTGTAAGGGGTTAGCGAAGGAGGGCTATGAGCTGGAAGCCACCGACGTGGCCGTGGTGTGCCGGCAGTTCGCCCGCATGCTCGCCACCAGCAAGATCCAGGCGGCCCTCAAGTAGGTGGTGATATGGACGTTGTCTGGTGTCTAGTGGCTGGTCATACGTTCATTGTGCCAGTTGCTGACAGACTTACATAACAGTGCATCAGTCTATGTGTCTGTCTGGGCCTTTTATCTCCATCTGTATTCCGCTCTCTTCATCTCTTACATCCATTTCTCTTCCCCAACGTTTCCCTCAAACCCCGCTCGTCTCATCTCCTGTGTGTGTTTCAGTGAGTGCTGTCACAACCGACGCACACACGCCGCCAGAACCATCCAGCTCGCATGGAGGCGGCACCTGAGAAAGAAATACGGACTGACCATCCAGCAGGTGAGCTATATGGACCGGTGGCTTTTGATTCGCCCTTAAAATCGTCTTGCTTCGAGGTGGTACTTGAGAACGAAATACACGCTCCCCATTCAACAGGTGAGAGATATGGACCATCTTTGTTGTTACCGCTCTGTAGTACCTGCATATAACTGCAATTATCCTCGTTATAACCACCCCTCCTACAGGGTATGAGTGCGGTGAACCAGAATCACATGCAGCTGGGGGTGCTAAGCACTAACTGCACCCATCCTCGTTATAACCACCCCTCCTACAGGTTATGAGTGCAGTGAACCAGAACCGCATGCAGCTGGTGGTGCGCAAGGCGCTGGAGTTGCAGGTTGGGGGGGGCAGCGCACGCAGAGACAGTGAAGCTGGGGAGGATTCAAGAAACAACAGCAGGCGGATGTGAGGACAGCAGCAGGAGGTGTGAGGGCAGCAAGAGGAGGGTGAGAGCAGGAGAATGTGAGAGGCGGCTTATGAGGCGCCTCAAAAGGCGCTGGAACTGCAGGTGGGGGGCAGCGCACGCAGAGACAGTGAAGCTGGAGAGGATTCAAGAAACAACAGCAGGCGGATGTGAGGACAGCAGCACGAGGTGTGAGGGCAGGGGAATGTGAGAGGCAGCTTATTAGGCGCCTCAAAAGGCCCTGGAGCTGCAAGGGGAGCCAGTGCTCGCAGAGCATAGGAAGGTAGTTTCGACCCAGATCCAGCAGATCTAACTCGTTCTAATCTCTTCTAGGCAAATGCTCGCAGAGCCAGCGAAGCAGGGGACTCAAGAAACAACAGCAGGCGAATGCGAGGGGAAGATGTGAGGGAGGGAGGATGAGGGAAAGAGTCTTTGGTACTGGCTATGTGTGCCGAGTTTCAGAATAGCAGGAGGCTTGTTGTAGCTCTTGTCGCTGCTTCTCAAAGGGCTCAGCTCAGAACGAAACATACCAGCAAACAGGCTGTCTTGTGAATGTGGGTTAAGAACAGGGCCTATGATTCAATTCGATAAGTTGAGGACGCATTCATAGAAACACTACAAACATAGCAGCTAGCTGCCGCAACTTTAAACATTCATTACTTATTTATAAATTTGGGTGGTTTGTTCAATACTATAGACAAGATTACGGACTGCATTAAGCTGCCCTAAAAATCCACAGCTTGTAATTTGAATCTAACATTACTTGGTATGTCAATCCTTTCAACTATGTGACGCCACAACAATGTATATGCCCTTGCAACTCTCAAACTTCTACCCAGAAGCACCTTCTCAACGCTGCATCGATGTGGTGTGTACTGGTATTATTGTTACATCACGGTACGATTATCATTATTATTGTGATGCACTGTTCAGAAGGATAGATCCAGGTGGATGCAGTGAACGCAGACAGGGTGCAGTAGGGCAGTGAAAGGCATGTGGGGAAGAGAAGACGATTTTATGTCAAAATGTTATTTGCTGTGTAGGCTGTAGTGGGGTACTCAACATAGAGTACAACCCTTTTAGGGTTTCCTATATGTACTCCACCTGCCTGCTAGTACAACCCCTTCTTCCTTTCCTTCTTCGCTTCTACTCTTAACATTTTATTGCTTTCCTTTCTATGTTTTCTTCAGCCATCCAACCAACACTAGTGGCCTAGGCTTGGGAGGGTCAGTTTTGAAGTGCGGGTGCCAACCTGCTAACACTTGCAAGCATGTCATGGCTAACCAGTTTTGAGCCGACTCAAGAAGAGTCACTTTGCCACGCAGAGTGGCAGTCACTCACTCACACCTCTGACACATGGGCGTGATGAAAAGCGCTGTTTGCTTTGCAGGCACGACTCCTGGGGCAACTTAAACAGTGGAAGCCACTGTCAGTCACTCCACTGTCACGTGGGGGTGCCGCCAAGCACTGCTTGCAGGCACGCCCTGGCGAAATCATCGTACAGCTGTAAGCACCCGAAGGCCATCTGGAAGGACAGGTGGGCCAAGGCGGGGAAGGACGGGAGAAAAGGGACTACGGTAGTGTGTTTTTTTAGTGAGCTATGAAACGGAATACCCTGGCAAAATCGTGGTACAGGTGCCGGCATGCAAAGGCCACCTGGATGGATGTGAGAGGACGGGGGTTGTGGGGCTTAAATGAAGGGGAACGAGGAAGGAAGGAGGGTGAGGAAGGAGGGACAGCAGGGGAAGAGCAGGAGAGAGGGTTGGGGTGGGATGCGGGAAGAAGCAGACAGGCAAAAGCAAGAGTGTTCAGCACTCTGGTCTGCTTGTCACCACTCTCAGAACTCATTGCTTTTGGTCTGCTCGTCCCCGCTCTCCTCCGCCAAGCCTCCCCAACCATGCAGCCATCACCCACTGCAGCATCCCTGACAGCCCCACCCCTGCACCCCCGGCACCCCCAGTAGCACCACCAGCACCCCCAGCAGCACCACTTTCATCTCAGCACTCACCGCTTTGGTCTGCTCGTCCCCGCTCTCCTCCGCCAGCCTTCCCAACCATGCAGCCATCACTCGCAGCATCCCTGACAGCCCCACGCCTGCACCTCCAGCACCACCACCCCCAGCACAGCCAGCAGCAGCAATAGCGCCAAATCCAGTGGTTGCGGTGCCTCCAGACGCAGAAGCAGCAGCAGAGGAGAGGAGGAGGCCTTCGGCAGCGACGGCAGCAGGGGGCAGCGAGAGGAGCAGTGAGGCTGCAGCAAAGATGGCACAGCGCTGCACGTAGGGCTCTGGGTGCAGGGCGATGGGACTGCAGGGGTGGGGAAAGGGGCGGAGGGTACGGATTGGGGGAGAAGGAAGAAGGGGAAAGAGGGGAGAAGAATGGAAAAGAGAGGTTGCATTTAAACACTATGTTTGAGGCTGCAGCGAAGATGGCACAGCGTTGCGTGCAGGGCTCTGGCGAAGAACCACAGAGTTCCGCCCCCAAAATGTTGCAGGGTGTTATTGAGAATTCTCAAAAACACCCTGCAGAACCACAGAGTTCACCACTCCAACAGAGCCCCAACAGTCCACTCCACACGTGACGCTCGCTCTACCTGCCTGCCTGTTGCACACTAACACCACCACATTGCACTGACAAGCCAGCCGCACACAGCACGAATCACCCCAACTCACCTGTCGTTGAAGAATTCCAGCAGAGCTGCTGCAAGAGGCAGGACAGCTGGCGAGGGGGCGAGGAGGCGGAGGCATTTCCCCAGCAGCATTTCCCCAGCAGCAGCAGCAGCAGCAGCAGCAGCAGCACGCGGGCGAGAACAACAAAGTCCTGCCCCACCCAGTCCAGTGTGTGGCTCTGCCTGTATACCAGCCGCTCCAAGCAAGACCAACCTTCACGCCACTCACCTAGCGTTGATGAATTCTGACAGTGCTGCTGCAAGGGGGAGAAGTGCGGGTGAAGGGGCTAGCAGGCGCAGGCACTTCCCCAAGAGCAGCAGCACGCGGGCGAGCACTACGTAGTCCCGCCCCACCCAGTCCACCCCGTGGCTCTGCCTGCCTGTTGCACACCCGCATCACCACATTGCACAGTCTCGCCACACACTGACCAGGCACACACCAAGCAAGCCCAACCTCAAAGCCACTCACCTGGCGTTGATAAATTCCAGCAGAGCTGCTACAAGAGGCAGGAGAGATGGAGAGGGGGCGAGGAGGCGCAGGCATTTCCCCAGAAGCAGCAGCACGCGGGCGAGAACCACAAAGTCCCGCCCCACCCAGTCCACCCCGTGGCTCTGCCTGTCGTACGCTCGCATCAGCGGCAGCATGAACCCCGCTGCCACGTCAGCGAATCGCACACGTGGAACTGTACATTTGGACGAATCGCGCTGACTGTGCATCTGCTGGTTCTGACCGCTGCTTCCGAGAAGCTTCTCTCTCGCGGATTCGATTGCTTTGGAGGTTCGTTTCTCCTGCCCAAGGATGCGGTCGCCAGGACGCAGGGGCAGGTCCCGTGCGAAACTTTTTGTCCAGCTGCCCTCGAGCCCGGTCAGGCCGAACCCTCCTCCATCTGCTGCTGCTAACATTGCCTTCGCCATCTCAGGCTGCCCGAGATCTCCGGGCAGAATCCCGGGCAGCTGAACCCAATTACCAGCACCAGGTGGGGAAGGGGAGAGGGAGTGTGCCGGATGATCCCAAGGGGTAGGCCCAGTGTGAATCTCAACTATCAGGGGAGTGTGCGAACGAGAGGTGGAAAGGGAGGAGGACGAGAGGGGTGGAGCGAGTGTAGCAGCAACTGAGGAAGAGGAGGAGGAGGAAGAGGGGGAGGAGTTGGAGGCGAGTTCGATAGCGGCTGCTTCTAGAACGTCCAGGATGAGTAGGCGCTGACTCAGATCCACGTGGGCAGAAAACACCTCCCCCAGAAGCACCTCGAGCGATGCCACCGGGGAAAAGACAACCAGGGCCACCAGCGATGCTCTCCTCCTCTCCTCTGCACCCCCTGCTCTCTGCCCTCCTCCCTTTCCTTCCCCGCCTTGCACGCTGCCTCCCTTCCGTTGCTTGGCTCCTTCTTCCCTGCTGCCCTTCTTCGTTTTACTGAAGGAGCCCCACTCTTCTACCTCACACTCCTCTACCTCACCTTCTCCCCCCTCCTCGCCCATCTCGCTCCCGCTCTCCTCCTCTCCCTCCTCCCCTCCCTCCCCCTCCGGTTCTTCCCCAACCAAGAGGAACTGGCACTGCATATGGATAAGGGAGCGCGCCAGCTCAGCTGCCACGTCATCCAGCTCGTCCGGTTGGCAGCGGATCATTGGCTCAAGGGAGAGAAGCGCCCGCTCCATCTGTTCACGAAGGACCAAGCATGAGAATGCCAAAAAAAAAAAAAACTTGACTAGAGTTTTTTTTACCGAGCCATGAAGACGACGAAGAGAAGGACCAGAAACGTTTCTTGACTAGAGGTAGCCAAATGCATAACCGACTGAAGCTGAGCTGAGACACTCACCGCACTGACATCATCGGCCTTCCTCAGGTCTGCTGCACAGTAGCGCAGCTGCATGGGAGCCGCCATTCCACCCCCCTCCCCACTCATGCCCACTCCTACTCCCATGCCCATGGCCACGCCCATTCCCATGCCCCCTTCATCCTCCTCTTCCTCGTCTGATTCCTCCTCGCTCTCCTCTTCCTCCTCATCCCAGTCCTCCTCACTCCACTCTTCCTCACTCTCCTCCTCGCTCCCTTCCTCGCTCCCTCCCTCACTCTCATCATCCTCCTCCCGTTCCTCCTTGCCCAACTCCCCCTCCTCTCCTCGCTTCTCCACGTCCTGATTCTCATCTTCCCCACCATCCCCACCGGCCCCCTTCGCCCCTTCCCCTCCCCTCTTCTCCTCCCTACACAACTGCCCCGTCAACCCCCCAACGTCCCATCCCGTTGCAAAATCAAGAGCAGCAGCAATAGCCGCCTCGTGAGTCGACTCAACAGCAGCTGCACTCCCCTCACTCACCCCACTCCCCCCTCTGCCTCCTCGCTTCCCCTCCTCCCCCCCAGAGACTATCCCTCGCTCATATGCAAACTCCCCAAACAGCATGGAGGGGCGGTCAGGGTGGACAGCCACTGAGAAGGCGAAGGCAAGGCGCTGCCCCATCAGGCGCACCAGCGGGAGGGGACTTTCCAATCGCACTGCACGTCAGAAGCAGGAACAAAACAGGCAGCAAGGGTGGTTTTGGGGGTTTGCAAAGGGGGTGGGGGGGGGAGAGGGGGAGGGGATGCAGGGGCGGTCAGGGTGCACAGCCACAGAGAAGGGAAAGGCAAGCCTTTGCCCCATCAGACGCACCAGCAGGAGGGGACTTTCCAATCGCACTGCATGTGAGGACCAGGAACAAAACAGGCAGCAAGGGGGGGGGTATGGGGGGCCAGTCAGTCAAGGTGGGCAGCCACTGAGAAAACAAAGGCAAGGCGCTGACCCATCAGCACGTCAGAAGCAGGAACAGGCAGCAAAAAAAGGGGGGAGGAGGGGAAGTGGGGGAAGGAGGGGTGGGCTGATGGGGTGCGCAGCCACTGAGAAGTTGAGATGCCTCAAACGTGCACAATGCAATGGCTGCGCACCCCATCACCTGAGAATTCTCATCTCAAACGTGCACTATGCAATGGCTGCGCACCCCATCATCTGAGAATTCTCATCTCAAACGTGCACTATGCAATGCACTTGCATCTTTTGAGGCGCCTAAAAAAACGTACTCAATGCACTTGCACTATCACAACAAAAGACATGCGAGTGCATGTGCATGTGCATGTGCATGTGTATGTGCATGTGCATGTGTATGTGTATGTGTATGCTCACAGTATGACAACTTACTGGAGACCCCCTTGAGAAGCATCGTGAGCAGCGATGGGTGCAGGCGAATGGGGGGATGGGAGTGATGCACGGATGAGGACAGTGCTTGAGGGTTGTGGTGGCGGGGGAGGGAGAGGAGGAATCCTGCTGCTGCTGTCACATCTGCCAGACGGAAAGAAAAGGGGCAAGGGGCATGACCAAGGGGAAAAGGTGATGGAGAAAGGATGGGAGCGAGGCACAGATGAGGCCAGTGCTTGAGGGTTGTGGTGGCGAGGAAGGGAGAGGAGGAATCCCGTTGCTGCTGTCACATCTGCCAGAAGGACAGGGTCGAGAAGAGGCAGGGAGCACGAATCAAGAGGGGAGGGAATGGGCCTATTTTTGAGTCGACTCAAAAATAGGAATCCCGCTGCTGCTGTCACATCTGCCAGGAGGACAGGGTCGAGAAGAGGCAGGGAGCACAACAAATCAAGGGGAAAGGAAATGACAATTGGAAATGCTTTCATACTTCTCCCGTTCCTCTGAGGTGCAACAAATTGACCTCGTCCCTCCCCGTCATCTCCAGTGACCAGTCAGTCAAGGGACGAGCACAGCACAGCACAGCACATCAATATTTACTAGAGCGTTTTGAGACGTCTCAAAATTGACCTCGTCCCTCCCCGCCCCGCCATCTCCAGTGACCAGTCAGTCAAGGGATGAGCAGAGCAGAGCACATCGATCTTTACTAGAGCGAATCAAGTCCTTTCTTCTTCTTGCTGACTCACAGATCTGCTTTTCCATGGATGCTGATTGGACGAGAGCTGCTGAGCTCCACATGCGCAGCACGTGCTCAAGTGCCACGTGGCACAGCCCCATTGGCTCGATTGCCAAGGAGCCGTCAGCAGGGGGGTGACAGGAGGAGGAGGACGAAAGGAGGGCGATAATCCAAGGCAGGCAAGGGAGGGGAAGGAGGGAGCGAGTGAGGAGGTGACAAGTAAATAGGTACCTGCCATGATTGGTTGCGGAGGGGAGTAGGGATGGGAGGGGGAATAGTAGAAGACAAAGAGAATGAGAGTTGACGGTGAGGTGAGGTAGAACAGATTCGGCTCAGCAGAAACATTGGCACGAACTGATCAGCCAGCTCTCAACGAGAATCTGATTTTCAAGGATTCGCAAAAAAATTGATTCAGCCTGCTCTCAAACAGAGACGCAAGACACCTCCGACCCACCCACCCACCCACCCAACCACACACAGGAGACTGACTGAGCCATTGGCTTTAGCGATAGAACGTAGGCAAAGAAGCAAACACGGGAAAGCAGAGAGAGAGGCAGCGAAACAGCAACAGCAAAGCAAGAAAGCATCACAACAACCATGCAGGAGAACAAGAAAGCGGCAAACCAGGGGTTGGATTCTATGTGTGCCTCATGCATCAACTCACACTGCTTGGGGGTGTCGCTGAGCCAGCAACCCCTGAAACAGCACCTGCAACACAGTCTCTGGCACACTGCCGCTCCTGCTGCTACTGCTGCTGGTGGTGCTGCCACCGCTGCAACTGCCGCTGCTGCTGGCAGTGGGAGCAGTGGTGGGAAGAGCAGCAGAGAGGGCGGCGAGGTGGGAGAGAAGAGCCTCTGCTAGCTGGTGAAGCGGGAAGGCGTCAGCAGCAGCGAGGGAGGTGATGATGGTGGAGTGGATAGAGGAGAGATGTGGTAAGGAGGAACTGCTGTGGCACGTGGTAGAGGCGGTGCTGTTGCTGCTGCTGCTGCTGGAAGTGGTGCTGTTGTGTGCTGGTGCTGACGTGGCGTGTGCCAGCTGTCGGATGATTGTGTGGACGAGCTCGGATGCCACGGTCGCTGGGAAGAGAGGGGCGAGCGGCAAGCAGAGAGGGAGGAGAATAGGGAGGAGCAGGAGAGGACGGGAGGGCAAAGGAGGAGGAGAAGCGGAGAGAGCATGGAAGAGGGAAAAGAAAAGGGTGGCGGAAAGGGGGGAGGAGGGGAGGGGAGGCCCCCACATCCTTGTTAGTTACTAACTGCCACCACACATTGGCTTGCCCCCACCGCCACTCACCCCACCAAACCTCACCCCACCACTCACCTGCATGCCCTCTGCGGCACAGCCTTGCCACCAGCTGCCCTACAAACGCCTCTAGGGAAACGCCACTGCCACTGCCGCTGCTGCTGCTGTTGCCGCTGCTGCTGCTGCTGCTGCTGCTGCTGATATTGCTGGTGTGCTTGTGAGTGGTGGTGATGTTAGTGGTGGTACTGCTGATGCTACCGCTGCTGCTAGTGGTAGGGGAAACACTTGTTAGGAGGGAGGGAGGCGTAGGGGGAGGTGGTGAGGAGGAGCGAGAGGCAGCGATGGTGGCGGTGGTGGTGAGAGTATGGCGGATGAGAGACGAGATGAAGTGACTGGTTGGGCAAGGGGGGAAGTGGGGGGATTGGAATGGAATGGGTTCCAGCGCGTATAAAACAATTAAGTGGCGGCGACTTCTTTTGGCGTTTTAGAACAAGAAGGGGCGGGGGGTGCTTGTGTCGATTTGGAGAAATCTCCGGACTGGCAGGCACTTGAATGGTGGGGACGCCCTAGTTTTAAGACGTTACAAAACGTGAGGGGGAGATGGGCGGGTGGGGAAGCACACGCACGGAGGGCAGTGGGAAAGTGGGTAGGAGGGGAAGGGGAGCATTTTTTAGATGCCACACGCACAAGCACGCAGCGAAGTGGGTAAGTGGGTTATGAAGGAGCAGAGTCTCACGGAGCATGCAGGGCAGAAGGCGCGTGTGACGACGCCCTATCGGTCACCGACGCCAGCTGGGACACCACTCTTTCCACGCTGTACTCTCCTCTCCACATTGCTGCTGACGTGGCTGATGCTGCTGACGTGGATGATGATGCTGACGTGGCTGACGCTGCTAACGTGCAGCGACTTGATTCCAGGTGGACCAAGAATCTGTACAAGCCCTCTGACGTTACAAGGGTCTCTCTGCACCCAGCAGCTCCAGCCAAGCTCCCTGCTCCAGTCACATTTGGACACGTGTCAGGAGTAGAAGCTGCAGGCGTGCACTCTGCGCCTGGCTTGACTGGTTCGGCTGTTGGGCCGTCAGGCGAACCGAAGATTGCAAGGAGGAGCAGCCTGGATGCATGGGTGGGTGGGGGGAAAAGAGGCAGGGAAGAGGGGCCCATTCTTGGAGAAGCTGCTGGCGAAGGAGAAGCATGCATGCAAAGGCGGGCGAAGGAGGGAGGGAGGGAGGGGGGGAAGGGGGGAGGGAAGGGAAGGAGGGAGGGAGGGAGGAGCGTCTCGGAAAGCTTGGTCGTACAGGGAGGAACCTTGAGGGAGAAAACGCGGAGGAGGGGGAGTGTTTTTTCCCTCAAGGTTGAGGAGGAGGGAGGAAGGGGGATTGGGTTGGACTGAAGTGAATCACACTCAAGCGGCCCATTGCTGGCTTTACCTCTCAGCCTCCTTGCGTGCAATGGTGCTCCTCCTCCCCTGCGCCACTCTACCACACACCCCTCCACCCAACACATCACCAGCAGCAGCAGCGCCACCACCACCATCGCCAACATCCTTCCCCTCACTTCCCTCTGCCCCATGTCCCCCCATCCCTCTCCCCCCATCTTCCCCCCAAAGCAACTCCTCGTCCGCGGAAGCAGTGTAGGCGGAGGGGGAGGCGGAGAGGAGGGGGAGGAGGGCGTCTAGCGCGGAGGGGAGGGGGGCGGAGAGGAAGAGCGGGTCGAGCAGAGCGCGGTGGGCGGAAGGGGGAAGCACTGGCGCCGCTCCTGGAAGGGGAAGGGGACAGGGGAGGAAAGGGGGAAGGGGAGGGGGAGGGGGAAGGGGAGGGGGGGGGGAAGCGGGGGGGAATGGAAAAGTGATGCGGATTCAGTGAGAGGGAGAGGAAAGGAGGGGGACTATTGTTGTACGGTCAGAGCAGAAGCGGATGCAAGAGCGGCGAGACGGCGGAGAAAACGAGTGAGATAGAAAAACGGAGAGGAGGACGCAGAATAGGATGCGGGGGGGACTATTGTCGTACGGACGGAACAGGAGCAGCTGCGAGAGCGCCGCGAGGTGGTCCGATAGTAGCACGCGAAGAGGAGACAATATCGGTGCCTTCGCTTCTGTCACAGCGGCGTCTCTCCCGCCCGTGGAGAACGCTTCATATCTGATTCCGTCAATCGCGCTGCTCGCACGATCCGCTACAGCCGACGCGTTCTTCGTCGACTTTGAAAAAGCGTTGCTCGCACGATCCACTACAGCCGATGCTACAGCCGACGCTCCAGCGCGTACGTTGGGTGCCAGCAAAGCGGCGACCGCTGTTTCAACGGCTGCCACGTCAGCAGCCGCGTCTAGACTCCGTTCCAATCGCGTAAGGAGGCGAATGGCTTCCTCCTCGTCGTCCAATCGCTGCTCTTGCTGAGCTTCAAAGGGATCAGCGGGATCTGATCGGCAATTACTCATTGAGGCGATGTCGTCCAGTCGAGTCGCCCTACGGGTCGCCATCTCATGTGTGGTCATACGAGTCGCCATCAAACCCAGTAATGATTAGTCTCAACTTCACGAGTTTGTATTTTTTTCCCCGCGTAGAAGCGACCTCGGTATTATTTTGTACTGCTTTAGGGGTAAATGCTGCAGTTTTACCTTGGGATAATCAGATGAAGTGATTTCTCATGGAAACTTTACCTCGCTATTATGTACACTCATTACAGTGTGCTGGTTTGCCACGATTATAAATACGCAGCCCTGTCAAATTCATAAAAAAAAAAATGCTGTTGATGAGGGCGTGTTCCTACAGCCCTGAGACTAAATTAAATGACCATTTTCATCGTAAAATAATCGGCCAGTGTCATCCCTCTTCTCGCTTCCCAGACTCATCATCCCTAAAGTACTTCTCCTGAACATCCCCTATTGTGGAAAGGTAATTCATGAGGCCAAATAAACACCAGCGCCGATCACCATGGGGACAAGATGGTCATTGTCACACAAACGAGGTCGCACGCAAAAAGGATTGTTTGAAGAGGTGCAGGTTAAGGAAACTTGAAATGTAAGTTGGAAGGGAAGCTAGAAGAGTACCGGTATTTTGAAAGGAAGCAAGATGTGGTTAGGCAGATAGAGGAAGGGGTGAACCAACTAGAGCAAAAGAGACAGTGTAATTCAAAAGGGGGGGAATCAGAAGACTAAGACACCAAATAAAAAAAAAGGAAAACCAAAACTGGGAGGCTTTTGCAAGAGTACAGTACATTGGAACAAACGAGAGTATAAATGGCCATCGTGATTCACGAATGAAGGATGCAAGTGGGGAGACGAGGGTGGGTGGGGAGAAGCGTAAAAGGCAAAAAACGTGCGCAAGAGGAGAAGGGAGAGAAAGAGTGAGTGCGAGAGGTAAGAGTGTGTGCGTGTGAGTGAGTGTGAGTGTGTGTGTGTGTGAGTGAGGGGGATATCTCTCCTCCTCCCACTGCATGGAGCGCGTGGCAATCTTGGAGTATTCAGCAGCGCTCGCCTCTATCCCCGCAAACACATAGCCGTTCGCCCGGTCGATTGTGCGGATCAGATTCGATACGCTCTCCTTGTCCTGACAGGCAAGCAGGGGCATCAGCAGCAGCAAGCAGTGAAATGCCGCCAGGAGAGATTAGGGCGAGTGGGGCGAGTGGGGCGAGTGGGGCGTTGGGGAGCGTAGGGTGCGTGGAGTGAGCAATGTGGGTCATGTGAGCGAGTGAGTGAGTGAGTGGGGTGGAGGAACATAGTCAGACCACCTGAATGTTGAGGGTTTCAAACGAGACGAGCCCGAAACCATCCACCACTTCACACACTGCTGACATCAGCTTGCTGGCATGTGCGGGGGGAGAGAGGGCCATGCTCGTCCCATGCTCAACCCATGTTCACCCCATTCTCGCCCCATGGTCAGCCCACCTGAATGTTAAGTGTTTCAAACGAGACGAGCCCGAAATCGTCCACCACTTCACACACTGCTGATGTTAGCTTGCTGGCATGTGCGTTGGGAGCGAGGGGGCGAGGGGGACAGGGGAAGGGGAAGAAGGGAGCGGGGGAGGGGGGGAGTGGTGGAAGGGTGTAGGGTTTTGGGGTAGAAGCGGGAAAGGGACCAGGGAGAAGTGACAGATTCAAACCAAACAGAAGAACAGTGTCCAGGCTATATCAGCTGGCCTGACAACACGGGACAGCGGAATGGAATGAGAGTGGAGCAATGTGCGTGTCGAATGGAATGTGCACTCACGAGTATCGCTTGTTGCGAGGATCGCTCTCGAGATGCTCCTGCAGGTACGAGAGGTCCTGCACGTCCGTGTAAAAGTCGAGGTTGAATGCTGAGGGCGGGGAAGAGGGGAAGAGGCAGAGACGGGAAAGATTTGATGCTCGGCTGCAGGTAGGAGTGGTCCTGCACGTCCGTGTAGAAGTCAAGGTTGAATGCTGAGGGAGGAAGGGTGTGGAGAGGGGGATTAGTGGGAGTGGGCAAGAGGGGGCGGGGAAAGTCGAATAGTCGCCTCAGACGCCTGCTCTGCTGCAAGAACAAGAGTTCCTGCACATCTGTGTAGCAAAGCAACCCAGATTAAAGGCTACGGGGCACCGAAAGAGCTGGGGAGCAGAAGAGGTCGAGGAGATCCACTCACTCAGGGGGCCGTATGCCTCCACGAGGCCTTTGTTTAAGCTCGAAATGTTCGAGTTTTGAGTCGACTCACAACTCGTCACAGAACGAGAGGGGGAGCGGAAGAGATCCACTCACTCAGGGGCCCGTATGCCTCCACGAGGTCTATCTTTGAGAGCACGTTGACGTGTGGCAGCTCGAAATGTAACATCGCCTGCCCATATAGCAAACAGAGCAGACCAAACCCAAGAACGAGTTGCTGAAGATAATAACCCGAAACTGACAAGGAGAAGCTGAAGCTGAAGCTGAAAAAAAAAAAAAAAAAAAAAAAAAAAAACCGAATCGACAGAGCTTCATTCAGGGAAGCGCCTGCGGAGACCCCTTACTGGACGCGAAGCCTTAGGTCACCCTTTACCTGCAGCGACAGCAGCAGCGCCGCCACGTACTTGTGTGCCTCGCTGCACAGATGCGCATCCACCAGATGCACTGCCGCTAGCTGGTGTGCATGAAGGGAAGAGAGAGGGGAGCAGTGGCAGGTGTGCGGGAGGATGGGGATAGACATAGAGGAGCAATGTGCCTCGCTGCACAGTTGCGCATCCACCAGATGCACTGCCGCTAGCTGGTGTGCATGAAGGGGGCGTGGGAAGGGAGGGGGGCATATACGAACAGGTAGCCACATTGTACAAGGGGAGAAACGGACAGGAAGGCATTTGGGGCGACAGCAGCAGTGCCGCCACGTGCTTGTGTGCCACGCTGCACAGATGCGCATCCGCCAGATGCACAGCCGCTAGCTGGTGTGCGTGGTGGGTGGGGAGGTTGGCGGACCTGAATCCCCCATCTGCTAGGCTCTCCGATACCCATCCACCAGACTCACTCAGTAGTGTATCTTATGACTTGTCTGTTAGGCGCTTGATGATGCTCTGAGCGCTGTGTAGAGCCGAGCAGAGTGAGGGGCTGACTTCTAGGCATGAATGAACAGATCGGAAACCCCATCCACCGCACTCAGTGTTGTCAGTGTGTGATGAGCCTCTGACATCTGATAGTGCCAGTGGTCTAGTGGTAGAATAGCACCCTGCCACGTGCCCGGTGCAGACCCGGGTTCGATTCCCGGCTGGCACAATGCCTTTTGGCCAGCCCGGTTGGGGCTGTGGACCTCTCTGTTCACTTTTGGACTGGCAGTTTTGCCCGTCGGCATTGTCCAAGGGCGTGGAACATTTTAACGAACACACCAAATGGTCGGAAAGATGGTTGTTTCTGGCGATTGCGAAGAATTTAAGGAAACCCCATTGACTGGCATGTGTAGTAGTCACCCTGACTTGACCGAAATTCACTCGTATTCTCGTAAATATTTTAGAGCCTCTACTCACACGCTATCGCTTAAAAAGAGGATACTGTTTGGCTTCCAGTATTTACCTCCGATTGTGGTTGCCTAACACTCTACTCGTTCCCGCTCCCCCCAATGTCCCACACCCGTTTCGAATGCTTAAACTGGGAACAGATGTTTCTGCTTAGTGGGGGGTGGTTTTTAATGGGTGCCCCACGTGCTGGCGAGCAGAATAGCTTAGAATTTTCGCAACCTTCGCATCGCTGTTACACCCTTCGCTTTCGCCAGATCCAACCATATGGTCGACAAATCAGCGTGGTCGTAAAAATGTTCCACGCCCTAAGAGGACGCCCTAGATCTGCTCCTCCTAGATTTTTGTTCTACAGTCCACTCAACTCAACAGCTGCCTGCCTGCCTGCGTGGCTGACACCCCACCCATCCACCACAAACTCACTCTGTAGTGCATCTTGTCGGTGAGGCGCTTGATGATGCTCTGAGCGCTGGAGTGCAGAGTGAAGAGCTCCACTTGCCCGGGGAAGTCGAAGAGGAAATAGTGGTCTGCTTGTAACGGGGATGGGTGGGTTGGTTGGCAGAGGGTGGGTGAGAAGGGAAAGAAAAGCGATTGTGAGTAGAAACAGAGTGCATGTAAGAGAAGACAGCATCTCATGATAGGGTGAAAAGCAGAAGCACTAGCAAATGTTGCCGTTAAAGCAAACAAACAAGCAAGCGAACATGCGCGAACAGCCATTCAGCTCGAAGGATGCATTTGAGGCATGAATGGAGCAAAGGGGGGCTTAAGCATCGACTGACCCTTTTCAAGGGGCTTCAGCTTGCTCTGCAGCCAGTCGAAGTTCTTATCGATGTAGTCCATGCAGTACACGAGACCTGCATGTAGACACACCAATATATATACACATACAGCAGATATATATATATATATATATATGTAAATATTTGCACAACCTCGTATGAATACTGCTGCCCTACTGCCAGCCCTCCTCTCTGCAAGCCCTCTCATCTCATCAGCTCACCACCATTGGGGTCCCAGCAAGTGCTGCCCCATCACATCCTCGAGTAAACAAATACAGACAAACAACATACCCACCAGCCCCACCGCCGGCCCTCTCCTCTGCCAGTCCCCTCTCCTCCTCTCATCTCACTCGCCTCCGTTGGGTTTCAGCCCGTGCTGCCCCATCACGTCCTTGAGTAAGAACACAAATGTACCCACCCCACAAATAAAAGAAAGGAATGCGCCCACCCTCTCCCCCCTTCTCCCCACCGCCAGCAGACTCCTTTCCTCCTCTCCGCCTCTCACCTCACCACCGTTGGGTCCCAGTCCGTGCTGCCCCGACACGTCCTCCCTTTCAACTGCCAGCCCTCTCCTCTCCGCCTCTCAGCTCACCTCCGTTGGGCCCCAGTCCGTGCTGCCCCATCACGTCCTCCAGGCGAACCAGCTCCTCCACGTTCACTGCGCACTCGTACCTGCACGACCCGAGGGGCAGAGCAGAGGTGGGGGAGGCGATAAGCTGCAGGTTGTGTGTGTAAGGCGCTTCACAAAGAGTCCGTGCTGCCCCATCACGTCCTCCAGGCGAAGGACCTCCTCCACGTTCACTGCACACCCGTACCTGCGCGGTCAGGGGAGCAGGGGTGCAGGGCGAGGGGGGATAGCTGAGGGGGTTATCATGGTTCGGTGAGGGATGGCATGGCATGGAACAGCATGGGACGGCACGGGGTACATATGATGGACTGTGACTCACGGGAGGCGATCATTGGCTGGATCCATGTTGACCACTGCCACCTTCCTGGGATGATGATTTGATACGGCATTATTATGGCATAGGGATTGTAACGGCACGGAAGTATAACGGCATATGATTATAGCGGATGGAGAATTTGTTAAAGTTTAGAAGAAAGAAGAGGATTGCACTAGCAAGAATGGGGATACAAATAGGAAACCCTAGAAGGGTTGTACTCGCTATAGAGCACCCCACTACAGGCTAGAGCATAAGATGACATTCTGACACACCCCCATAGCCAAAGTGGGGTGTAATCAGCAGAGTAAGCAAAGGAGTACAAGCTCAGGGTGGATCACAATGTCACCACACATTCTGAGCACAAGTTCAAGAAGCAATAGTTTAAGTTCACAATTATGAGCAAAGCTAGTGGTAGTCACAACGGGCAAGTGAGGAGGAGGAGAGAGAGTGAGAGGAGAGGAGATAGGAGGCGACGGCTGAAGCTGCAGACACACAGGCAACAGGAGGCAGACTGGCACAGCGGCTACCGGACGAAGTCCCCGGAATACAGGAGTAACAGGCCCCGCGGCTAAAGTAGCGGCAGACGAGCAACGGACCCACGGGCGGCTGGCACAGCTGGCTACGACTGGGCTACCGGACGAAGTCCCCGGAATACAGGTGCTGCTGGCGACACGACGGCAACCTCCATTCAGCTTCCCCAAACTATCCCACTCCCCCCTGGCACACACCCGCTGCTACACCGCTAGCTCCACTCCCCTTTCACCCCCCCTTAGTACCACTCCACCGGCTCCAACACGTCCACCCCCCCTCAGCGGCAGCTGCAGCACAAGGAGACGGAGGAGGAGGAGGAGCAGGGAACGGTACAGAGTGAAGTCACCCCCATACCCCTCACCCCCAAACCCTAATTCAGGAGAATGGGGAGTAGGAGGGGTGGGGCGCCAGTAGAAGCACTGGGGGACAGCGAGGAGGGCAGGGGCAGCGAGGAACGAGCCCACCACGGGCCTGGTAGAGACGCCCGAGCCGCGCGCAGGCGGCCCGAGCCGCGCGCGGGCCTGGCGCCGCCCGTACGGGCCGCGCGCGGGCCTGGCGCAGCCCGTACGGGCCGCGCGCGGGCCTGGCGCAGCCCGTACGGGTGGCGCGCGGGCCTGGCGCAGCCCGTACGGGTCGCGCGCTGCCTGTACGGGCCGCGCGCAGGCCACGACGGGCGACGGGGGGCGACGAACGGGTCCCCGTCGCCCGTCGCGGCGCCTCCCGAGGGCGACGCGACGGTTGACGGGGCCGCGCGCCTCGGGGCGCACAGCGGGCAGAGAACCGCCGCGCGCCTCGGGGCGCACGGCGGGCAGAAAACCGCCGCGCGCCTCGGGGCGCACGGCGGGCAGAAAACCGCCGCGCGCCTCGGGGCGCACGGCGGGAAGAAAAACTGCCGCACGCCACGGGGCGTGCGGCACAGAGAGTAGCAGTAGCAGTTGCAGCGGAAGCAACAAGGTGGTGAGCCCACCCACAGGATCGATCCAAGGGGATCGACCTGCTCTGATAGCATGTTAAAGTTTAGAAGAAAGAAGAGGATTGCACTAGCAAGAATGGGGATACAAATAGGAAACCCTAGAAGGGTTGTACTCGCTATAGAGCACCCCACTACAGGCTAGAGCATAAGATGACATTCTGACAGAATTGTAACGGGACAGGATCACGGGTTATTGTGATGGCTGGAAGGAGATCGAATTTCGTGCGAGACGTTTTCAAGTTGAGCAAGCTGTTCTGACGTAACAATAAGAGCGGTGTGCGACGTGGTGGCAAACGACGGGCAGCAGTCCGACGACGGAAGACACGGAATGAGCCCGACCGAACCTTCCTAGAAGCTGCATAAACTGCTGCATGCCATTGCAGTACGTGGTCTTCCCCGACCCTGGCGGGCCGATGACGATCTGCCTGAACGGCATCTATGCTGCTAGGTTTATAGATGCTGGAAAAAAACGGCGGCGTTTCTGGTAAACAGTGTGATTCTTCTCGGACTGACTACTAATATGGTCGGACTGGCTAGATGACTTATGAAGTTTCTGCGTTATAGAGTTTCAGAGAATATAATAACAAAAGTCTTGGGTTTGGGTGCCTTCCACTGCAGGCTATGGAGGAGATTGAGGCACGAAATTTATCAAACACTGATTTGAGAAACTTGCTAAACAAAATTTCCTATATTAGGATATCACTTGTATTGCATATTATGATTGTACAGTAACACTGAAAGGTAATGTATCCACGATTAATGAAAAGGCATTGTGCTTTATTGCAATAGAAAAAAATAATTTCTACAAATCTCACATATAATCTTGGTTGTATAGTAACAGAAAGATTTTGCATGCTAATGAAGTACATGGATGGACAGTAAACCCAGCGAATTATGTCTCACATGGTGGAAAAGGTTAAAGAAGTTTCACTTACACAACAGAAAGAGGCTAATGAAAAGGCATTGTGCTTGGTCATATATGCAAGTATGTTACTGTTTAGCGGCGTTTCTGGTAAACAGTGTGATTCTTCTCGGACTGACTATTAATATGTGGTTTACACTTCAGGTATTATATAATCGAGTATAGTCACCAAGGGAGATGACCCACTCTATCATCTCGGTTGGGAACTAGATTTGTGCCGTTGTTCGTCGTCGACTGCATGAGCTGTTGTGCATTGAATCTGCATTCACCACGCGTCCGGGTCCAAAGCGTGGCATGTGGGAGTGACTTTCTAGGTGCCAGGTCATCTGCATAGACTTACTGTCAGTCGCGTAACTGTTAGGAGTGAGTTTGCGAGTCCCTTGTTTCCAGATTTAGTTTTTTACATTTCCACTTTTGTCGCAATATCATTTCGGGAGGATGGTGAAAAGGCTGCGATCAGCACCGCGCGACATTGTGCTGACCTCTGCATTGACGCCTTGACACGTGTACAAGTTGCTGCATGGCCAGTGACGTAGTATACAATGTAAACGCCGTAACTTCCAAGGTGCGCCATCAGGGTGCGTGTTGTGGCCTTTAGCCGGCTGTCTGGAAGCTGCCTGTAAGATCCCGTCTACCTCGGCGTTCACCAGATTTCGAAGATGGCTTGCGTGTGAAAACCACCTTCTTTCTCACATGATCAGATCATTTTGGGGGAAGGGCCAGCTGGGTGGCAGTTGCTTGCGATTCACCCAATTCAGGCAGCCATTGATCGGACGAAGGGTCAAGCGTACAGCGCGACACGGCCCAAGCGTCAGCAGAAATCTCGAGAGCAGCAGGCAACTTCGGAGGAAGTTGAAAGCAGGCATGCGTCAGCAGGAGCCTGAAGTGCGCGGGAGAACCGTTGGCTCGCAGCGCAACCGCGTGGGTGGCCTTCGCTCCGGCACAATGGCGCGGGTGGGCTTTCAGGTAGCGATCTCAGGCTGCTCATCTACTTCGGCATGCGATCGTCACGGCTGCAGGCCGAACCACTTAATTCTGCTCTTGGCAAGAGCAGAACAAGATGAGGTAGCAGACTACTTGGATGCCTGTTCCAGTTTGCAGGGGACTCTCGCATCCTCCAGAACTCTTCAGCTGCCAATCAACCCATGTGATTCTTGCTGTATTACACGAGCTTTCTCCGCTAAAAAGGGATCCGAAACGTTCATTCACCTGCAATTCCAATGGCAGATTCAGCTAGACCTGCCAATTTTGGTGATCCTGCTGCTGCTGCGAGTGCCCCTTCCAGAGCACCCCAAGCATCTCTGGATCGCTCCTCTGCTCCTCCGTCGTTACACGAATGCGTTCCTTTCTCTGCTCCGACTGCTGTTTTCCGCGAGCCTTTCAGTCTAGCGCACCGTTCATCCCCGTTACAAGTACCCCCCACTATGGCTGTAGCGCCAGACGCCTCTTTGCACTGTACTGCCGCGAGTAACCTGGCTCGAAGCTTGAGCAGCAGCCGCAGCAGGAGGGCGCGTGAGAACCCTTCACTACAGTCACACGTGGAATATGAGGAGCGTCCAGAAACGGGGGAGAGGGAAATGTTGGGCTTTAAGGCCAGCGGCAGTGGAAGAGGTGCAGGAATGGCTTGGAACAGGGCTGCAGAGAAAAGTCAAATCAACTTGGCAGGAGAGGGTGGGGATGAAAGGGGAAGGGTTATTGCGTTCATTGAGCAGGCTGAGGGAGGGGAAGTGGGGAATCTGGTGGTAAAATCTGGACGTGAAGTCTTTCCTTTTCAGAGATGCTCTTTGCTAAGTGGCAGCGGAAACAGGAGAGGTGGTGGTAACCCCAAGAAGCGACGTATTCTTCCAAGCGAGGACGAGGTGAGGGCGGCTGCAGCTGATTGGCCAACGCTTGGAGCCACTTTGAGACGAGCTCTTGGGGTGGGCCGGGGTGGGGATGCAGTTGAGGGTGCACGTTTTAGTTCAGGCGGAGAGGGAGCAGGAGCCGAGAAAGCAGGAGAGAAAGCAGGAGCAGAACGAGCAGGAGCAGGACAAGCAAGAGAACAAGGACAGGGGGGGTTGGAATCAGCAACAGGTGTGATGCAGAAAGACAAAGGGACAACCTTGCAGCAAGCACAGCGTACGGAAGAGGAGCATCTCATGATGCCACATCATCATCAGCAGCAGCAGCAGCAGCAGCAGCCATCCAAATCACAGTCTGGACCAACTGTTGTGCCTGGTAAAGGGGAATCACAAAACGCAGGGAAATCTGGAGCGGGCACAGACGTGAAGGCGAGTCATGAGTGCCGATTCTGCGGCAAGGAATTCGGTTCGTTCCGCGCACTTGGAGGCCACATGAATCTGCACAGGCGAGGTGAGTCATGATGATGGCTTTTGTCCTGCTTATATACCTAAGGCTCTTCCGTTTGGTCCCAAAGAGCCCCCTGCTTGTACGAATCCTTGTTTCTTTTTTCAACTTATTTTTATGATTTTCTTTCTCTCTTTCCTTCTCCTTTGCGTGCATTATGCCCTGCCAAACAGAGCGCAAAGTTGAGGATTTCGTAAAGAGGACAGAGGAGAAAGCCCAGAGTAGATTAACGCAACTACTGCAGCATCAGCAGGAGCAGCAGCAACACGTGCAGCAGCATGTGCAGTCACAGCAACAGCAACAGCAATCACAGGAGCAACCAGAGCAACAGCGGCTGCTGCTGCAACAGCAGGTGCAGCAGCAATGGCAGCAAGAACAGCGGAACCATCAGCGACAGATGCTGTTACAGCAGCTGGAACAACTGCAACAAGCCGAAGCAGACTACCAGCATCAACTTCAGGAGAAAATTCCACAGCAGCAGCATCAGCAGCAATGGCAGCAAGAACAGCCAAACCACGAGCAACAGCTGCTGCAGCAGCTGCAACAGCTGCAGCAAGCAGAAGCAAACCACCAGCATTATCTGGAGCAACAGCAGCAACAGCAGGATATGCTTGCGCAGTCATCACTTGCTTTCCTGCCTCAACTTACTCTACAGCAGCAGCAGCAGCAGCAGCAACTGGTTCGCACAGCTGCAACATACAGCACAGCAGGCAACACAGCAACCACAGCAACCAGCACAGCCGCCACGGGAAGAAGCGCTTGGGCTGACATGCAGTGCGGGTCAACGTCAGGCATTCAGGCTTTAGCCTGTGTGCCGTGCGGGTCTTCCACTAGCATTGACCGGGGTGTGTCTGCTGGTGCTGCTGTGACTTTGGGTGCTGGATTGCATGGGTTTGCGCCGGGGCGTGGTGTTGTGGCAGGAATTGGTGGTGGTTTTGGTGGTGGTGTTGTGGCAGGACTTGGTGGTGGTGTTGGTGGTGGTGTTGTGGGGAGTGAAGGAGAAGAGCAGATGGAGATTGACGTGAGCACTGCATTGCAGAATATGCTGCACCAGCAGCAGCTTGTGTGGCATCAGGAACAGCAACAGCAGCAGCTTGTGCGGCAACAGGAACAGCAACAGCAGCAACAGCAACAGCAACAGCAGCTGTTCCTGCTTCAGAATCTTCTCCAGCAGCAGCAGCAGCATCCACAGCTTTTCTCCCGCGATCCTAAATCAGCTCTGCTACACTCCGCATTACAAGCAGCCCTGCCCTCACCCTTTCCTGCAGCACTGGCACCAGTACCTAGACCATCACCACCACCACCACCATCACTTGCACCACCAGCAGCACCTTCAGCACCAGCAGCACCTTCAGCACCAGCAGCACCTCCCACCATGCCAAATTTCAACACCCAGCAACACATCCATCCACTCCTCCCTCTTCCCGCCCCAGACCCTTTCCTCTCCACCCTCTCCCCCGAGCTCCTCCAGTCTCTTCTTTCCCACTTTTCCCCCCCTGAAACAGCCCCTGCTGCTGACCCTGCTGGAACGCCTCATGCAGTTACCTCTGCGTCTTCACTCACTCCTGCTCATCCTGCCTCTATTCCTCCCTCCCTCCCGCTAGTCGCTGCTGCTCCAGAGCAGATGTTTTTTGCCTCTGGTAGAGAATGGTCCCCATTTGTTCCATATGTAGCCCCTATCAAGGCAGTGGCTGTTCCACCTGGTTCTAATTTTAAGCCTGCTGTTACACCTGAGGTCTCACCTGACGATGCACCTGGACGTGCTGTGTCTGCTCCTGTGGTAGTGGCAGCAGAGGAGCAGCAGCAGGAGCGATTGATCATGCAGGAGGAGTTAAAGGCGCAGCAGGAGGTGCTTCAGCAGCAGAGGCAGCAGCAGCACCAGAAGCAGTTTCAGTCACACCAGCAGCAGCAGCAGGGCGACGTGGCAGTGAAATCTGGGCTGCCAGTGGCTCTGCATCAGCCCATCCCTGTTCCTGCTGCTCATGGTCCTCATGTTGGCCTGGCTGAGCTGGCAGCGATGCTGGAGACTGGCGGAGGGGGTGGCGGAAGTAGAGTTTGGAGAGGAGGTGAGGGTTCAGCAGGGAGTAAGGCATGGCTGCGACTACATAGGCCACCACGGTTGCAGGGGCAGCAGCAGGAGGAGCAGCAGACGCTGGAGAAGCAGCCGCAGCAGCTCCAGGGGCAGAGGCAGCAAGAGCAGGGGCATAGGCAGCAGGAGATGTTGCATCAGGATCAACAGCAGCAGCAGAGGGTGTATGAGCGGCAGCAGCAGGAGTGGTTGAGTCGGCTGCTGGTGTTGGCAGGTCAACAAGCACAGGCAGGCATGGGAAAGGCAGTGGCTGTTCCTAGTGACCTTACTATGCCTTCTGCGACTGCTCCTCAGGCTGCTTTGCGTTTCCCTCAGTTCGCCTCTGGGTTTCCTGCACCTGCTGATGGCATGGCTCCTGCTGCAGTTACTCCTGCTCCAGCCGTTCCTGCACGTGGTTTTTGGCCCGGTGGCATTTCAACTCGTGGTTTCATTCCAGCGATTCAGCACCACTCCTTTCCTTCCTTGGCACAGCCTGGATCTGCTTTTGAAGCTGCATTGCCACAGCAGCAGGGGGGTGAGTCTCACGCACAGCAGCTATTGCAAGATCAAGGGGGGAGAAGGGCCGACGAGGAATTGGCACAGCTGGAACAGCTTCGTCAGCTGATGCTGCTACAGGAGCAGCTTTTAGGGGGTCAAGCACAGGAAGATGAGCTCCGATTGAGGAGGCAGAGGTTGGAGAGTTCCCTGATTGGTGGTAACCGGGATTATGATAAGGAGGGTACGTCTGTGAGGGAAGGAGACGTAAGCGCAAATGCATCCAGTATTTCAGATTTGCAACTGGGTCTGGGTAGCAGATTGCGAGGAATATAGAGCTGTGCGATCTTTAATTTCGATGACGTCTGCTGCTTGTGAAAATGATTTTTTTGTTAGAAACGTGCAAAATATGAGAAATATAACTGATAATATGATCGCACATTCCATATTTATGGCATCGAAGAGACTCGTACTTCACTGGAAATGTTTATAACGATGTAAGTCGCCAGGAATCCATTCCCTTGGTTTTGCCGAACTCTGAGCTGCAGCTTGATCCTGACAAGTTCTCATCTACTTCTACGGATAAATGCATAGCCCTCGCTGTTCGTTGCCTCCGTACGTCTACTTTCCTTCGTGTCGTCGATTCCGTCTATTTCTTCTCCTTAGTCTCTGCAGCTTAATTCGAGGCGCCTCATATTCCGTCCACTTGGGAGTCTCTATTCTCTGTACTTTGCCTTTCCGTCACGTCAATGCCGAGCCGCAGCTTCATATGAGAGCCTCAAGGTCGTCAAACTGATACCTCAGGATTCATCGACCTGATTGTGTCTGTTCTTTGTACTTAGCTTCCTCCGTCGCGCCAGTAGCGAAGCGAGCAACGGCTCTATCTTAGGCGCCTCAAGTTTCGTCGACCAGATTGTGTCTGTTACCTGTACTTAGCTTCCTAAGTCGCGTCAGTGGCGAGCGGCAACGATGGGGAAAATGGTGACGTACCTGCATTCGGCAAGCCTACTTCTGAGTCGCCTCACCGCGAGAATGGCTGCGCAGGCGAGAATGACGTCGCAGGCGAGAACGGCGTCGCAGGCGACACTGGTGTCGCAGATCTGCCCGCTTACATGAAAACCATGCAGCTGTACACGGCTCTTCAAAGCCACGACACGGTAAGCGCCGGTTAGATGGACAACGGTACGGTGGAGAGTGGTAGTGGGGGAATGGACAATGGTAAATCGATCGACTCTGAAGTATTATAGCAGTGACGCCCAATTTCAACTGACCCTTTTCATTCCCACGCTTGCAGCGTGTGTTCCTGCCACGCACCCTGAGGTACCGCCGAGAGGCAGCAGATGCCTGCTAAGTCGACTCTGTAGAAATTGAGCAGTCCCGCCCAATTTCAACTGACCCTTTCATTCCACACTCTTGCAGCGTGTGTTCCTGCCACGCACCCTGAGGTATCGGCGAGAAGCGGCAGCGCAGCAGGAGAGGGAGGAGCGGCGACAGCTGCAGCAACAGCTGGGCCATGCAGTGGAAGGGTGAGGAGGGATCCAGGGAGGTACAGTGCGGTGATCATAGTGGGCTGGGCTTCGAGGTGGCTAGAGAAGCACACAGCAGGAGGGTGAGGAGGGATAGTGGGCGCATGGGTGATAAAAACACACAGCATTGGTTAGGGTGGGGTTGGATTGGATAGTGGGGGGGATGTGGTGGTGGTGGTTAGGGTGAGGTGTTTTGACACCTTCTCAGCTTGTTCTTTCAAGCTCCCTGGTTTAGCTTGGCAGCTTCTGAAACGTCTGTTGCGACGTCCTATAATTTGGCAGCTTCTGAATCTTTTTTTTTTTTTTTTTCTAAGGGCAGCTTAGTCACGTTCCTTCTCAGGGCATTTCTCCTTTCAGCTTGTAAGATCCGCCGCGTTGATTCTTAGCTTAGCTTTTCTCTTGCCTGCTTTTCCGAACCTCTGTTTTCTCTAGCCCAGGACTTTTGTTCACTCGTTCACATCCCTCCATCCCTCTAATCTCCCTCCTCTCGCTCTGCAGGCCTTGCGAACCCTCATCTGTTCCACCATCCACCACCCGATCCGCTCACCCATCCGACCTCCCCCCATGCTCCTGTGCCATCACTCTTCGAATGGCCTCCTGCTCCTCCTCCTCCTCCGCCTTCTCCCTCCCCTCCTCCCCCCACTGCCCCCCATCTCTCTCCCACTTTCCCCCACCATCTCCTCCTCCTCTGTTGTCCCAGTCCCTCCATCCCCTGCTGTCTCACCTCATGGTGCTTGCAATTCCACTCACACGCACTCCTCCTCCTGCTGCTGCTGCTGCCACCCCAGCAGCAGGTGCTAGTGCAAATGGTGCGGGTGCCAGTGGTGCTGGCGCTATTGCAACAAATGCTGTCAGTGCAAATGGTGCTGTTGCGAATGGGATCAGTGCAAATGGTGCAGCTGGCACATGGGACCACTACTCTGTGAGGGCTTCTTCTGCCGTGCTGTGCGCTCCTGTGCTCGAAACCTGGGGTGCTGGCAGCACTGGCACTGATGGCAATGCTGCTGCTCTTCCTCCTCATCCTCCTCCTCCTGCTGCTGCTCCTGCTGCTGTGGCTGCTGCTGGTACCAGCAACAGTGGTGCCGCGCACAACGGGACTACAGGGGAATTGCATAGGATGGAAGCTGTCGATGCCGCAGCCGCAGCAACGAATCATTCCCAACACCACCACGATCAGCAGCAGCAGCATCACCACGAGCATGGCAGTGCGCATGAGCAGGGGTCAGCAGAGAGCGACATATCCTCTCTGCCAAGGCGCATGGTGCTGCCAATGGACGCCAGTGGTGGGCCGTCGTCTGTTCTTCTGCTTGTCATCCGTGAGTGTGCTGCATCTCTCTATCCATCCACCCACCCATTGTTCTCCATTCATTCATTCGTTCCTCTCCGTCTATATTGAGGCTTCTGAATAATAAACGGCAGCGGCCGATTGCCATCTGTGCTTCTGCTTCTTCCGATAGAGGTCAAATTTATAGGCGCCTAAAGAATAGACCTCTCTCTGCCCATCCGTGTGGGCTCTCTCTGACATCCCACTGTGTCTCCATTCCTCTCCTCGCCAGCAACCAGCCCACTCTCTCCCAACCTTGCCTCTGCTTCCCAACCCACCTTCTGCCTGGCCGTTTTCCCATCATGCTGTTTCTCTTTCCCATCACCGCTCCTCAACAACCTTCAAGGCGTCTCAAAAATCGTTTTCTCCTTATGCCGTTTTTCTTCCCCATCAATGAGTCTGTTTTTTATTCCAGTAAAAAATCAAGAATCGTTTTCCCCTGATGCTGTTTTTTCTTCCCCATTGCAGCTCCTGGACGCGGCGTGCACAGCCCAAGTGTGAACGGACTATCATCCCATCAATCTCAACCACAACCACATTCACATTCCCAGCGTCCTCTGGCCAATGGCTTTGTGCCACATGTCTCCAAAGCTCCCTCGGTAGCCAATGGCATGTCGCCATTTGTCGACGAGCCTGCCTTCTCAGCCATGTTTGGTCATGGTGCATCCGAGCCTAGAATCGTCTTCTGGGGCCATTTGTCGACCGAGCCTGTTGCTGCCGAACCTGCCTCTGCCGAATCTGCCCAGTCGAGCCAGTTGCCGAACCACCAAGTCATTGGAGCTTGGTTCTGGCGGCAACGCTGCATCAACTTACGTCTGGGAATGGTTGTGGTGAGTTCTTAGTGGTTTCAAACATCATCCCATGTGCCACACTTCCCGGGATGCGTCACACTCAATCCCATGCTTCATACATCATCCCATGCATCACACATCACTTGATGCTTCACATATCCCTCCCTCCATGCGTCACATTCTCATGACCCCATCAGGATCAACCAGCACGCTCAGCGCACAGCTCGTCGCAGCGACCCGCTCTCTTCCTCCAGCCTCTGCCACACGCCGACCAGGCAGGACAGGTGAGACAGCAAGGGTGGGGCAGAGAGGATGGGGCAGGGGTTTGTGCGCTCTAATCACATCGCATATTCCCCTAGCCCTTGTTATTATGGGTATTATGAAGATCGATACCCGAGGGTAGGGATGAGCAAGGGGCGAACACGATCGTGTTCGCGTTCGCCCCAGCTCGAACACTGCCGTTCGGCGAACCGAACAGTGTTCGGTTCGCCGAACACCTTTTACAAAAAAGGGTGTTCGATGTTCGCCTGTGAGGGCGAACATCTTGCATGGTAAGGCGAACACGAACGTGTTGGGGGCGAACACGTTCATGTTCGCCCCTGGGCATCCTTTGTTACGCTCGAAATTGGGCCGGATCAGCATTTTGCGAGATCTAGTTACGGATCCATAGTTTTTTTTATCCAGCTCGCCACCTGGATTTCCCCCCATGTAAGGCGAAACGCTCTCCCCGTTCTATATCTACGAAATTTGCGATTGCTCGCCAACCCCCCCCACCCCCCCAACTCACGAAATATGCGAACGCTATTCCTCTCAATCCCATGCATACGAAATTTGCGAATGCTTACCGTCAACCCTCAACTTACGAGATTCTGCGGTATCCCTGTCTAATCTTTTCCCGAAAACCTAAATCTCGCATACCCAAGTCTAGACAGACTAACCTAAGGCAACTACTTAATCACGCTAAGTCCTAATGAGGTGATAACGGCGTGATGTGTGGGGGGCGTGGTAGTAATGGCTGCTGCTGAATAGCGCGACTAAGTTTGAGCTCAAATTTGAGCTCAAACAGAATGTCCCGCAACGTAAATTGTAGATCGCGGGACAGTCGCGTCGAACACATTCGTGTTCGTTTTTGCCCTGAAACGAACACGAACGCGTTCGTGTTCGACGCGGCTCGGCAGCAGTAGCGGGGCGAACACCGAACACGTTCGCCCCGAACATTTTTAGCCAAAACAAAATCCTGTTCGGTTCGTCGTTTCCATGCTCATCCCTACCCGAGGGTTCCTTTTGACATTTGGGTGTAAGAAATCCCTCTGGTGAATACTGTGTGGCAGGAGATGAGCGAGCGCCTGTTTGTGGATGTGCGGCCGTCCCCCTGCCAGCCCTGCCAGCAGCGAGGGGTTTTCCTGCAGGGCAGAGTGCTGCTGCCCGCTCAGGTGGGTTGACGTGTGGGTGGGCAGTGGCAGCACTGTGCTTTGCATGCGCCATGCTCGCACTGTCGTCCCCCTGCCAACACTGCCAGCAGCGAGGGGTGTTCCTGCAAGGCAGAGTGCTGCTGCCCGCTCAGGTGAGATTGAGTTGTGCTGTGGCACCATGTGCTGTGGCACCATGTGCTGTGGCAGCATGTGCTGTGGCAGCATGTGCTGTGGCAGCATGTGCTGTGGCAGCATGTGCTGTGGCACCATGTGCTGTGGCACCATGTGCTGTGGCAGCATGTGCTGTGGCAGCATGTGCTGTGGCACCATGTGCTGTGGCACCATGTGCTGTGGCACCATGTGCTATGGCAGCATGTGCTGTGGCACCATGTGCTGTGGCAGCATGTGCTGTGGCAGCAATTCGTTAAAGCATGCAACTCTGCCAGCATTGCCAACACTGTCAGCAGCGAGGGGTGTTCCTCCCCCCCCCCCACCCACCCCCTCCCACTCCACCCACCCCCTCCCACTCCCCCCAGCTATGTGGAGATGGTACTGTGCTCTTCCATTTCTGGTTCGGCCACGGCAGCCAGCGCAAGTCGCAAGCCGTGCGTCGCTCCCGCTGCCCCATCTGCCGCACTGCATGTGGCACCACCAAGGTGTGTCTCCGCCTCTACCGTATGTTAGGACGTACCATATGTGTCCTCCATACGTTATGTTTCTCAAGGAAGGACTCACTCACTTAAGAAATAGTGAATTTTATTGATGTTTTTTTCGAGCCTCGATCTCTTCTGTATGGTTTAAAACAACAAAGGGGTGAGCCTTAGAATTTCTGTGACTCTGTATTTGCTGGTGGCATGGTCTGGTAAGGTACGGTGCGTGCGGTGTGGTGCTACCTGTGCATGGCATGTTCGATTGTGCTGAACTGATGACGGTGTGGTTCTTTTTTTCATTTGGACTGTCTGTTGTGGGCCTCTGTTGCTGCCTTTAGCTGGAACATGCCATGCCATCTCGTCTTCAGACTCTCCCATGCCATCTTCACCTGGAAGAATTCTTCAGCCGCAGCTGTGGTAATGCAATCATTAACCTTCTTGCCCATCTCATCTGTGAATTATGCCCATTAATATCTGCTTCTCGTTCTCTCTGCTTCTTACTCCTCCCTTGGCCATCAGGGTCTCAGGAATCACCTGGAAGCTTCTCACAGCCGCTTTGACTACACTTTCCATGTGAGCTCTTGTTCCCTCTCAAGCCGGCTTCCCTCCCATCGCCCTCATAGTAATTTTCGAGTCAACTCAAAATCCCTCCCATCCCATCGCCCTCATTCCACGATTCACCCATCATGCTTTAGAAGGCGCCTCAGAAGTCGTCTTTATGAATTCCCCGTCTCACTCCCCTACTTTCCCCTCTCCCTCCCCATTTCCTCTTTTTCTAGTCAACTACTTAAGGATCATGCTCAAACTGAATGCCCACCTCCTTCCCCATTTCCCCTCCCTCCCTTCCCCTTGATCCTCTCAGCTCCAGCAGCCATTGCCAGTCGTCCACGTCACCTGCAAACCTCAGCTGGTAACCACATGCGCTGGCCCAAGCAGATAGATGCACATTTGAGCACGAGCAACACGAGCACGAGCACGAGATTTTTGTGCCAACGCAATAAAATTGTGGATCCGTTTTCGTCTGCAGGATCTGGAGCGCCCAGCAGTCACGGCATCGGCATCAGTCCATCGGCAGCAAGCCAAAGGCCCACCATTCTTCTGGTGAGAAAGAGATAGAATGCTATTGATACGAAGGACCGTTCGAGAGGATGCTATTGATACGAAGGACCGTTCGAGAGGATGCTGTGTTTGCAGTGGCATGGAGGGTGGCAGGGGTGGGACGGGGGCTGGGAGGGTTTGGGAGGGGTGAGGGAGGGTCGAGAGGGTGGGGAGGGCCGAGAGGGTTGGGAGGTTCGGGAGGGGTGGGAAGGATGGGAAGGGTTGGAGGGTCGTTCACCTTTGAACTCTTGGTGCAGCTGGTGCGGATGCTCCGATTCCGCACTCAAATCGTTCTCAAACTCTGAGTTACCACTCTTTGTTACTACTCTGAGTTACCACTCTTTGTTACTACTCTCAGTTACCACTCTTTGTTACTACTCTCAGTTACCACTCTTTGTTACTACTCTCAGTTACCACTCTTTGTTACTACTCTCAGTTACCACTCTTTGTTACTACTCTCAGTTACCACTCTTTGTTACTACTCTCAGTTACCACTCTTTGTTACTACTCTCAGTTACCACTCTTTGTTACTACTCTCAGTTACCACTCTTTGTTACTACTCTCAGTTACCACTCTTTGTTACTACTCTCAGTTACCACTCTTTGTTACTACTCTCAGTTACCACTCTTTGTTACTACTCTGAGTTGCCACTCTTTGTTACTACTCTCAGTTACCACTCTTTGTTACTACTCTCAGTTACCACTCTTTGTTACTACTCTCAGTTACCACTCTTTGTTACTACTCTCAGTTACCACTCTTTGTTACTACTCTCAGTTACCACTCTTATCCCCTTTTTGAACCACTCGCCCTCACCATCAGGCATCGGAACAAGCGAGCAGGAGGCAGAGGAAAGCAGCGGCAGCAGCAGCGTGTGGGCGGGGAGGAAACGCCTTGCATCATGCGAGCGAGGGAGGGACGTGGGGAGGTTTTCCCGTGTGGTGGTGGTGCCAGGGATAGTGGCAATGGTGTATGGGGTGCTGGTAACGATGAGACTGATGATAATGATGCCATCACTGCCAGAGATAATCGCAATGGTGATGATGCCAGTGGCGCTTGTGTGGGTGGTGAAAAGGATGGTTGGGCTGCTGCAGGTGATGTTTGTGTTGCTGCAACTGGAGCAGCAGCAGCAGCGGGCGCAGTAGCAGCAGCAGAAGGAGCAGGAGCAGGAGAAGCAGGGGGAGAAAAAGGAAAAGGTAGAGTAGATTTCGGGGGTGGGGGGGTGTTAAAAGAGAAGGGGACAGAGGAGGAGGGAGCAAAGGAGGAGGAGAGGGGAGAGGGGAAGGGGAAGAGAGAGGAGAAGGAGAAGAGAAAGGGGAAGGAGAAGGCAGAGGGGAAAGCAGAGGCAGTGGAGGAGAAGAAGAGAGAAGAAATGTCATTGGAGGTGGCTCAAAGGATTGCTGAGGAGATGCGGACAGAAGCGAAGGCTTCAAGAGAAAGAGGTGGGTTGCACATTGGTATTGGTAGAGAAGGTGTAAGGAAGAAAAGGAAGGGAGGAGGGGAGAATGTGAGGGAAGAATGCGAGGGGAGGAAAACGACGAGGGAGATGCAACGTAGTCACAACGGGCTGAACTGCTGCTCGTGATGAAACGTGATAAAAGTGTGCTTTTGAGACGTCTGAAAAGCACACTAATATCACGTGGCTGAACTGCTGCGTGTGATGAAAAAGAAACCAACCTTTGTGTTTCTTGCATCCCTCTGACACCACCTCCTCCTTCCTGCCCCACCCTCCTCTCTGTCTCTCCCACTCCACAGCACTCACTCACCCTCGGTTACAAATCCACCGCCCCTCTTCCTCCCATCATCCTCCCCCTACTTCCTGCTCCACCCTCCTCCCTGTCTCACCCATTCCGTGTTAAATCGTCTCTCACCACAGTCACGTGAAAGAAGAGTGTTTTCGAGACGTTTCAAAAATACTTCCTGCCCCACTCTCCTCTCTGTCTCACCCAATCTATGTCAAATCGTCTCTCACCACACTCACTCTTACTCTCGGTTTCTTCATTCCCCCCCAACTCATCACTCCACCCCAACCTTACTTGTTGTCAGTGCGTCGATTTGAGCGGGCTGAAGAGGAGGCAAGAGAGGAGGTCTGCAGGAAATGGTGGGTGGGTGCATGCATTTGTGGGTGGGTGCAAGCCGGGTGGGTGGGTGCAAGCCGGGTGGGTGGTTTGAAGGCCGGTGGGTGGCCCATGCTGTGCCATTTCTTAGCATAATCACCCGGCTTGTCTGGGACAAGACATGTAGTGAACCTAGCTCCATTTGATAAAAGTTGTATTTTGAGACGTCTCACCACGGCTCCACTTCGACAGCTCACCACAGACAAGACATGTAGTGAACCTAGCTCCACAGGCTGCATATATGTGTTCACGTCCTTCCTTCTCACCACCCCTTCCCACTCACCACCCCTCCCCACTCGCTGAATGCAGGTCGTCAGGGCTCCTGCAGAGAACCTTCTACCACTCGCAGCGATGGCAGGTGCGTAAGGGCTCCTGAGTCGACTTGTCAGACACCACGCGTAGCAGCACTGTCGGGCGGCAACTCCTCTCCTCTCTTCCACTCAACGTGTTTGAAGTAGCGTTTTGAGACGTCTCATAACACTACTTCAAACAAGCAGCACCGTCGGTCGGAAACTACTCTCTTCCACTCAAACGTCCCCCCGACCGCGCTATGCTCCTTCCGAAACCCACTCCCGCTCGCAACATCAGCTGCTTGCTTGCGTTCTCTTAGACGGCGGCTCTTGAGACTAACCTATTGCCACTTCTAGTCCTGCGTGCCTTTCCCTGTTGCTTACATGTTTCCCGTATCTCCCCAATCCAGCCAATCACGGCGCAGGTGATGGTGGAGGATGCAGACAGCGAGGACGAGTGGGATGAAGCCGCCGCCTCCCCCCCACCCCTCCCCCTGCCCCCAACCCAACACACCGTGCCGCAACCCTCTTTGTGCCACACCCCCCACTATGCCGTACCCCGCTGCCAGCCAATCACGGCGCAGGAGATGGCGCAGGATGCAGACAGCGAGGACGAGTGGGATGAAGCTGCCGCCTCGTATGCGGACCGCAAGCTGCTGGGCGAGTTTGAGGACGTGCTGGGCGAGGAGAAGGGCATCATGCACCGCTGGATGGCGTTTGTGCGCCGCCACAGGTGAGTGAGCAGTTGGTGTGTGGGGGCGAGGGCGTGGCATCTGGAGGTGAAGGGGTTGGTGTGTGGGAGTGCTGAGGTACCATGCTTTTGAGTCGACTCAAGAGTCACCGGCACAGGTGGATTAGTGTGGAGGGGTGAGCATTGGTCGCCGGATCATCATGCATCGCTGGATGGCGTTTGTGCGCCTGCACACGTGAGCAATCACTGTGTGGGGGTGAGGGCTGCCTTTTCTTGTTCGGCACTGTTAGTTCTCTCTATTCTTGCATCTCCCTCTGGCTGAGTCACACTTAGGCTTGTCACTTCACAATGTGGACACAGAATGAGACATTGGGTCACCTATTGTCCACGTCCCCAGTCTGTGTACATCTCATCTCTCGTTCTGGTTCTCTCATGTTCTTGTCTCTACATCTCACTCTGTACTTCGGTTCGGTTGATGGTTGGCTCATGCCCATCTCACCCGTTCCTGACCTCAACAGCCATGTGACTAAGTGCATGTGATCATTAATTATGTGTCTGTGTGCGTGTCTTCTTGCATCAGGGTGATAGCGGACAGGCATGTGCCGTGGACATGTGAGGCATTCGGCATCACACACAAGACCTTCCTCTCCTCCTCCCCTTGCACCCGCATGTGATGAACCCTCTTTGTCCCTATGCGTGGGTCTTTTCGCAACAGGGTGATAGCGGATAGGCATGTGCCATGGACATGCGAGGCATTCACCATCACACACAAGGACTTCCTCTCCTCCTCCCCTTGCACCCGTATGTGAGTGCCACACACCCTTCACTGCACTCCCACGTTGTGGTTTTCGTTTCCTCTCCTTCATGCATGCTGCTGCCAATGCCAAGTTTCACTTCCACTCCCCTTCCCTCGCTTTACCTACTTCCACGCCCCATCCGTCCCTAAAGCTGCTGCTTGTTTTGATACCCTTCATAATATTTAGAAACTCCCTAACTGCCTGCACGGCTGACACCTTTCTTCTCGCCCTTCCCCCCTCCTCCCCCCCACCTCCCTCTCCCCTTCCTCCCTCTCCCCTTCCTGCCTCTCTCCCCTCCCCACTCCCACAAAGGTGCTTCATGCTCTTTCTAGTGAAGCTGTGGAACGTGAATCTGATTCCAGGCGGCGTTATTGACAAGTGTCTGCAAATAGTCGACTCGGCCAACAGCAGCCCGGGTAGTGACTTGGCACAGCAAGGCAGCTTATAACGGGTATGAGAAGATAACACTGCACAAGATGACAAAATGGTGCTTCATTGAGTACATATACATACCACGTGGCAGTTGGTATCACCTGTGTGCTACACCTGTGACACCTGTGTGGTAGTAACAAGAGAATATTGCCATGTTGTGGTATCCTTACTGTTACAAATAGCAACTGTCTGATTCAAAAACCTGGGTCCTTGTCCCGATCTGTACCTTCGAGAAAGACTGGTGTTCGTGGCGGCATGCGGCTAGAAGGGGAGCCCTTGGCAGCTCTCAGCAGAGCCAGCAGGAAGACCACGTGCTGCAGCAGAGCAATCATCACAGTGACTTTTGGCTCATAGATGGCTAAAACGGGTAGGCGGCTAGAAGGGGCATGCGGCTAGAAGGGGCAGCCGGCTAGAAGGGGAGCCCTTGGCAGCTCGCAGCAGAGCCAGCAGGCAGTCCACTTGCTGCAGCAGGTCACTGGTATCAGAGCGAAGCTGCTCCCCTTTGCTGCTTGGCCGGAAAAAGGTCTCTGAAACGTGTGCCGTTGGAACCAACTGCTCATCATCATCATCACCGTTGATTTTCTCTGACAGCTTGTCTGGCAGCAAATCCACGCCCTCCATCACTTCTGCCCAGTCTGGGTCATTGTCACACCCACCATTGCCACACCCACCATTGTCACACCCGCCATTGTCACACCCGCCATTGTCACACCCGCCATTGTCACACCCGCCATTGTCACACCCGCCATTGTCACACCCGCCAGTGTCACACCGCCATTGTCACACCCGCCAGTGTCACACCCGCCAGTGTCACACCTGCCATTGTCACACCCGCCAGTGTCACACCCGCCAGTGTCATACCCGCCATTGACACACCCGCCAGTGTCACACCCGCCAGTGTCACACCCGCCATTGTCACACCCGCCATTGTCACACCCGCCAGTGTCACACCCAACTACCCGTGTATCAGGGTCACGCTTTTCACCCTCCTCTGAAAACTCTATCTCATTCTCCTCGTTACAAACACACTCCTCACACTCACACTCCTCCCCATGCTCACTGTCTGCCGTATCCGCATTATTTGCCGAAACCTCCCCACCTGCACTTCCCACCAGCTGCACCACTTTCAACCCCTCTCCACCCAACCGACCTACATCACACTGGTTTTGTGCTGCCTCAAGACCAAATTCCTCTACACCCATCGCAACCGCAGTACACTGGTCTGCATCGCTCACTAGTTGGCACGTGAAGTCTATCGCAGGAACTTCAATGGGCATATCAGCGAGTGGAAGGTCGAGCGTGGTGGGTAGAAGGTCAACGCTGATAGGTGGAAGGGTAAGGTCCGATGGAGAGTGGTGAAGTTCGGTGGGAGAGAGGCGGAGGTCGGTTGGGGAGTGTCTAAGGTCGGTTGGGGAGTGTCTGAGGTCGGTTGGGGAGTGTCTGAGGTCGGTTGGGGAGTGTGTGAAGTCGGTTGGGGAGTGTGTGAGGTCGGTTGGGGAGTGTGTGAGGTCGGTTGGGGAGTGTGTGAGGTCGGTTGGGGAGTGTGTGAGGTCGGTTGGGGACAGGCCAAGGTCAGCCTTGAGATCAGTGATCGAATAGCGCCGGCTGTGCCTGCGTTGCACTTGCTGCACTTGCTGCACTTGCTGCACTTGCTGCACTTGCTGCACTTGCTGCACTTGATGCTCATGCTGCTTGTGCTGCACTTGCATCTGCGCTTGTTGCTGCACTTGCTGCAGCGGCGGCTGCACTTTCGGCTCCAGCTGCTCCGCTTGCTCTTCGTCTGGCTGCTGATGCCAATGGTAATCATAATGGTAATCCCCATGTTCCCTATGCTCTGGATACAAGCCTTCCTGTCTGCTAAGCAACTCAGAGGAAGGTTCTCGGAAGGCAGGTGGCGGAGCAAGGGGAGGAGCAGAGGGGGGCGAGGACTGGGAAGGGATGAAGGGATGGAGGAGGGCGAGAAGGGATGCCAGATCAGGAGGAGGAGGTTGGGGTGGGGCATGCGCAGAGGCGGGTGGAGAGTCATGTGCAGAGGGGTGTGAAGAGGTGTCTGGAGAGGTCTGTGGATTGGCGTGTGGAGTGGCAATGGGAGGCATAGTGTAAGGGGTTGGAGACGAGCAGAGGACAGGAGAAGGAGCAGATGAACAGGTAGCAGTGGCGTTAGAGTTGACGGCAGCAGCAGCAGCAGCAGCAGCAGCGGTGGTGGAAGGAGGGACAACCAGGGGAAGACTTGGAGTGGAAGCACTGTCGAGAGGGCATTCGGATTTCGTGAGGATGCGAGAGAGGAGGAGCGCGAGAGTCATGATAGCTGATGATGACGATTCCTTTGCAGCATCCTCGTTCCTCCTCCTCCTCCTCCTGCTCGTCTTCTTTCCAGTCCACGCGCTCTTACCTTCGCCCTCCCATCCTCCATCTTGCCCCTCCTCCCGTCCGCCTCTCATCCGCTCCTCCTGTTCCTCCGCCTCTCCAGCTTCCAACCTCCCTCTGAGCATCTCTTGCATCGCACTTGAGCCAGTCCCCAGCTCCTCAAAGCTGCTGGGCAACCTATACGCGTTATTGGCAGCCTCTTCATGACATCCAGCACCGTCGCCTAACCCTAGTGCGCGTTCAAACGAGTCCCACATCTGTGGTGTGCTCGAGCCGGCTAGTAACGATGCCAGTGATTGCTGCTGTTTCTGTTGCTGTTGCTGTTGCTGTTGCTGTTGCTGTTGCTGTTGCTGTTGCTGTTGCTGCTGCCACTGCTGCTGCTGCTGCTGCTGCTGCTGCTGCTGCTGAGCCTCTTTCTTTGGTTTCCACCATTCCTCACAATCACCCTCATCCTCAGCGCTTCGAATCACTCCACATGTAGGATCATATGCAACCTTGTTCCCCTGCTGCTGAGACCCATGGCTCCTCTCCTTCCTCCTCTTAGCTTCCCTTCTCCCCTGCTCTGCTCCCCACGACCCTTGAGGCGCTTCAAACATCGACTTAGCTTCTCTTTTCTCCTGATCTGATTCCCACCACCCTGGCCCAATGGCACCTGGAAGGACCTGATGTTGGTCGCCAGGCTCTATCTTGCCTCCTGGTAGGGTGTGGGGAGAAGTTGATTTCTGACTCGACTCAAGTGTCGCTCCTGCTTGCAGGATGTGGGGATGCGAAGGGAGTTCGGCTGTGGAAAACGCAGCGTCTGCTTCCGTGTGTTGTCGAGTCTGATTACAATGGGGACGAAGACTTAATCCCTCCGTTTCTGCTGCTTCCGCTGCTGCATTGTACCCATTAGCAGCAGCAGCAGCACCACCACCACCAGTCCCACCACCCAGTCCTTTCCGCCTCAGGGTGGAGTTCCAGTGGTTCTTTATCTCATTGTCCTCTTCCTTGCACGCCTCAGCAGCAGCACCGCCACTCCCACCACCCAGCCGTTTCCGTCTAAGAGTGGAGTTCCAGTGGTTCTTAATCGCATTGTCCGTCCGCCCAGGGAGGTACCTCGCGATCCGCGCCCACTTATTCCCGTGCCGCGTGTGTGCCTGCGCGAGAATCACATCCTCCTCTGCGCTAAAAGCACCGCGCTTCACGGCCGGGTCCAGCTGGTTGCACCACCGCAGCCGGCAGCTCTTGGCGCTCCTTCCCGGAACCTTCTCCGCGACCTTGTTCCAGTGCCGCCCGCCTAGCTTCCGCACCATCCTCAGCAAAATGGCGTCCTCCTGTTGTGGGTAACGAGGAAGGAGTGGGGGGAACAGGGGGAAGGGGAGAAAGAGGAAGGGGAGGGGGAGGGAGGGGAACTGAAGCGGTGCCTTGAAGATTGCCTGTTGATCAGTGGAAGAGTTTACTTAGGATCGGCCCATCCTATCCTGCCTGGTGCCAGATGCTAAGTTGGTGCTGCTGTTCCGTGCAGGGAATGCGCACCCAGACTGTCCAAGTTCCGCAGGCAGTAACTAATCGAACAAGGGGAAAAATGTGTACGTTAGAAATCTCAGAACCAAACTCGGAAGTTATATTTTGTTGCGGGGAACGCACCTCGGGAGTCCAAGATCCGCGGGCTGAGTCCAGAAAATCGTCTGCGGCGTCCGTTGACAGCTGCTCCGGCGCTGCTGCAAATGTTGCTGCTGCCGCTGCTGCTGCTGGAGGCGCTGCGGCTGATGCTGCAGCAGCAGCTCTCTGCGCTGGTTGGCTCGTGGCCATGATAGCTTCAACCCCGCTAGTCGCCGAATCTGGGGCTACAAACGGTCCATTTTGGGCTAGTGCGTCCGGCGTGTCAGTAGGTCGAGCACGGTACCACGAGGTCGAGCCTGTGAGCTCCCAATGGCGGAGCTCGTGAGGTTCACTGGCTACTAATTATCAACTGGGTAGCTATCCACGATTGCTGTTGGGAGTCATGTGTCCGTGTTTCTCTAACGATACGGTGCATTCGGCTATTTGGCTATTCGGCTCCGCGGTACGGTGCATTCGAAAACCTATTGAACCTCTAATGGTCAATGGAAGCAGGCGTGGAAAAATCAAATGACAAATACGTACGCAGGAAATCGCCTATACGTAACGGTAGCGTGAGGTTGCGCCGCCTCGCGAGTCGCAAGTTGCGACCTAAGACTCGTAGACAGGTCGCAGGGTGGAAAACTGGATCTCCGCGACCAATAAGAGGAGGAACGTTCGGCGTGATTTTTTCTGTTGCTGGTTGGTTCAAGAGAAACGTTTGGAATTCCGTCTGTCAGATACTAAGGAGAACGGCAGTGGCAGGGGTGAGTAGAACCCGTGAAGGAGCAAGCGTACGTAGTAGATAGGATACAAAGAAACCGCAGCAACATGTGTTGTGCTGCAAGCATGGTGGAAAGCTGATGGGATTCAATGGGGGCGATTTGGAAAAAGTGGTGCGAAGCGAAGCGAATGGTGTGTGATGTGAATGTGCGAAGCGAATGGTGTGTGATGTGAATGTGCGAAGCGAAGCGAAGATGTGATCGATCGGGTCGGGTCGGGTGACACCGCTCGCTTGCTCCGTTGCGTTGCATGTTGATCGAGGCGCACCGCATTTATTTTCTCACCCATCTGTGTTTCGTCAATGATCGAACAGACCATCTGCGTCGCAGATGTGGCAAGATGGCTTGATCTGGTCAGAAAGTGGCAACATCGCGTCGCGATGTCGCTGAATCACCAGATGCCAACATTCGGGGCGTCAGGTTATGGGCATGGGGTGGGAGTGTGGCTGCCAGCTGGGACCCGTGGTGGTGTGTGCAAAGGTGCGGTGAGTTGGTTTTTTTCAGAGTTGTTCGAGCTGAAAAAACAGTTGCAGTTCTAAACTCGTTATTATGTAAAGTACTCTGAAATCGAATCCTCCTTATACAGCTTCACCCAAGGCAAAGAACACATTAGTTATTTACATACTATTTAAGCACTAACCGCCCCTCATGAGGGGAGAAAAAACATGCAAACACATCCACCGCTTACAGCCCTCGCCCCCTCGTCTGTGGACTCCCCATACAGGGCCCAAATTATCAGGGTAAAAGACCCTGTTTGCCCTGATGGGCGGCCGCTTTTTCCCAGTTACCCTTTTCAAAACAGGGTATCAAAATTTTTACCCTATAGCAAAAAGGCTAAGTTTCGGTATTCACTGATAGAGATTCTGGTAACCCAAGCGGTGTCAGGGTACATTCTACACTACACTGACATCAAATCCTCAGTAGCGAAGTTTCTTCATTCAATGCGGCGAAGTATTGAGACGGTTCTAAGATTCGAACCTACGATCCTTCAAGACCTAATCTCACATTTAACCATCTGAGACACAACCCGTTAGCTCAAGACTACTAAAAACCATAACTCAGGGGATCATAAAATTTTTTAAGGCTGTTTTTGGCAGGGTATGAAAATTTCTACCCTATGAGTCAGGATAGAGCTGGCCTTAAACCCTGATAAGTCAGGGTGGGCCAAAACCAATTTTGGGCCCTGTCCCCATACTACGGCTCCTCATTATCTGAAGGAGCAAAATTCAAGTCAAACCCCAAGACGCGCGAGCGTGTTGGAGTGGTGTCTGTAGTCCCATGATTGTCGTTCTGAAGCTGTACAATTGGAGGCCAAAACCTTGCGACCCCACTTGGTCCAGGAACGCCGCTGACATCATTCTCGACATGCTGCTGCTGCTGTGAAACAGGATCAGGATAATTTTCACTCTCAAGCTCATGCTGCCGACTCACATAATCCAAACGGGGCAGTGCAGGAGGCAACAGAGCCAGGGCTGGTCCTAAACACCCTTTCCTCTCATGTTGCTGTGGGAGAGGGTCCACCAGGGGTGACACAGGAGGCACCAGCACATGGTCCGGCAGCATGGTGAGCCGATGGTGAGTCACCTGCTGATCTAACAGCAGCTGCTGCTTCTGTTGAGATGACATGCCTGCTTCAACAGGCAGCTGCTGCTGCTGCTGATCGCCCGTCCAAGGAATATCAGCTGGCTTCTCTGTTGAAACGGCACTCTGCTTCGCTTCCAAGCCAGGTGCGTCTGCACCTCTCTCGGCAATGCCAGAATTCTCCGGTGATGCTTTCTTCAGATCACACAACCTTTCCACAACCTCTTGAGTATCCGCCTCCACCTTCTTCTTGTGCATTAGCTTCAGCCTCTCTTCTGCAAAGCAGAACCAATAACAGTAAAATCTGAACAAACAAACCGAAAAAACGCAACCATTACTGCCACTCTAACAGGGCAAGCAACGTGCTGGAGCTGAAGCAGCGGCCAGCATACCTCGTCTATGTCTGGACATGTGTCCGCCCAGAGACTGAGGCAGGGAGAACGTCCTTCCACACTCCTTGCACTCGTACGTGGACGGCACTCTGGGTCCTGCTGCCTGTAGCTTCCGGAGTTCATCCTCCGGAGAAAAAAACGAACGAGCTGGATCCACGCAAGTGGGTGGCGTCACATGGGCGGACGGGGTGAATTCTGAGATGCCTGATGACACCAGGTGGCTGGTTGGCTGCATGGGGAGACTCCCAGTAAGGGGGTCAGTATGGCTCAAAGATTGTACGTTTCCCAGAAACAGGTCCCTGCGACTGGATTCCACAGGGGGGTTCCTGGTAAAAAGGTCCATGTGGCCAGAAGTTTGCACAGGAATGTTCCTGTTGATAGGGTCCATCAGGCTAGAATACTGCACAGGAAGGTCCCTAGAAAAGGGGTCCATAGGGCTGAATGTTTGCACAGGAAGGTTTCTGGTAAAAGGGTCCACGTGGCTGGAAGATTGCACAGGAAGGTTCCTGGCAAAAAGGTCTGCGTGAGCAGAAGATTGCGCAGAGAGATTCCTGGTAAAAGCGTCAGTAACACTGGATAACTGCAAAGAGAGTCTCCTGGTAAAGGGGTCAATGTGACTGGAAGCTGGCACAGGAAGGTCTCCGGTAGAAAGGTCCACATGTCCAGACGATTGCACAGGACGATTCCTGGAAAAGACGTCCGTTTGGACAGAAGATTGATCTGGAAGGCTCCCAGGCAGTCGATTCAAATAGCTGGACGACTGAACAGAAACACCCTGGATAAAAGGGTCCACATGGCTGGTGCTTAGTGCGAAACGTGGGAAAAAAATCAGAGAGGCCGCATCAGGCACAGGCAACCGGGAGGAAGAGGAGAGTGGAGCAGCTGGTGTGTGAGAGGAGCTGGGAATCATGGAGGGAGGGAGAGAGGAGAGCGGCGTTGGAGGGGGTTGGAGGGGGTCCAAAGGAGGTCCTGAGGTTGTATGACGGTGTGCTTGATGGATGATGGCTTGTAGCGCTCCTGCAGTGACGAATCGTTGTGACAGCATGATGAGACGGAGATACAGAGACGATTAGAGATAAGAAGGCAGGCTGAGAAGCAACAGGCGGATCATCTAAAACATGCACGCTCTACCAACTTTGCCGTCTCTGTTGGCCTAAAAGCCAGAGATTGAAAAAAAAGCAATCAACACGAGTAGAACAAGACAACGAAAAGCAGTCACCTGTGAAAGCAGCAGACGGGGCGGGAAGAAGCCTCGCGGAAATCAAGCGAGCAGCAAGAGCCTCGTCATCATCGCTAGCAGCAGCCGGCTTGATCTCCCCCTCGCTCGCCAGCGGATCTCTGCGCGATCTCTTCCGCTTCCGCCTCCCGCTGGACTCCCTCTGCCCTTTGGAAGGCCTGCGCCTCAACGTTCCGAGATCTGGCCCGGGAGGGAAGGCACCGATATGCCTCGCCGCAATCGCACGTGAATCTTGACTCATCGGATGAGGAATTCCCCGTGTGTCCTGAGTAGAGACGTTGCTCGCAATAGTAGCTCGCGATAGGACCGGAGCGTTCCATCGTGGCTCCTCTTGGCCATACGTATTCCCCCTCTCAATCGGACCATAACTCTCAAGAGGACTATTTCTCCTCTCATACCTCTCAAGAGGACTATTCCTCCTCTCAATCTGGCCGTACCTCTCCAGCCTTCCACGAGCAGGGCCAGTCGCCCCTAACCGTCCCTGATCCATCACAAGGAAAACGACTACTACCGCCGCGGGCGTATGCGTTAACGTACCAAATGGGTCGTATGGTAATACGGCTGATAGGGTCGCTCTTGAAGCTATAAGGCCTCTCATCCCTGCTCCAGGTGGCGAATCCGTTGCGGTTTCCGTACCACTGGCGTGGCAGCTTGGTGGAAGGGAAATAGATATCAACCCGGTGGATGGGAGACTACACCCGCGATGGGGCTATCCACATGATAACTCCTGCAACTTCTATACCAGTTGGCCGCCCTAAGCTCCTGAAACCGAACGCCCGCTGGGTTAACGCGGCTAAATTCCAAAGTCTGAAAGGACCTGGCATTGTCCCACAGGGCCTTGCATGCGAAGGGATGAGCCGCAATACCCCACTGGATGGCTACGTTACAAGTCACACCACCAGCCAGATCCGTCGGGGAAATCTGAAGGCGGCCCTCTGACGACCAATTCAGAGGTTGAAGCAGTTTCGAAGAAAGCCGGATGCGCAAGTCAGTTTGTAGCGAGCGGCAGCATTATTCGGGATCTGCGTCAGATGGGGGGGAAGCCGCGTGTTTGTGTGACACATGGGAACATCCTAGAAGTGGTCGACATGATCCAACGTCGCTGCGAGCTTCTTAAGGACGTCTTAGAAGGCTCCCGTTGTATGTAGCCGCGCGAACCCACCGGGCGTTCGGCTTCAGGAGATTTAGGGCGGCGATCTGGTGAAGAAGGTGCGAGAGGTATCATAAACGGCAGCCCCTCGCGCTGCTGCCCACTCAGCTCCAAACAATATGATGCAAGTGTTGTCGCATTCCTGGAGCTGCATGCTTTTAGAAGAATCGCGCTAGGAGGAGACGGCTTAGAGTTCATGGCGGCGAGGGGTAAAAAGCCGCAGGGATCGCGGAGAAGCCACGTGTAAAGAGAAAGCGAAGCTGCGACCTGGTCGTGTGGTGAAGGCTTTTGCCATGTGAGCTGCTAGAGGTGGCGTGGAGCCTTTCGTTTCGTTA